ATCACAAAGTAAGCAAATACTTCACAACATGCTTCCAACAACATTATATTATAGCTATTTGCAAATGTTTTTGGCACCCTTGGTCAAACCGCACATTTGTTGATTTTATAAGTGAAAAGTTAACACATTCTCTACATAGAACACACTTCTGCACATTTTAATGTGCAGTTAATGTTTATTTGATGAATCTAACATATTAATGTTACGTTATGGCATGTTTTACATTTTATGTTTTACTAAACATTTTATGTTTTCCAATATGGTAAACTCAGCAAATAAACAGGAACTGTGCACTAAAAATGCCATATTTAAGTTTTTCTCTGTAAAGAATGTTTTAACATATTTTCACTTCAAATCAATAAAACATTTAATCTGATCAGGGGCATTCAAACTTTCGTATAGGACTGTATTTTTACACCAACTGCCCAGCTTTTCATGGCACTAGCCATAAAGTGTTTATTTGAAGTTAAATCTGTATCTTTTATTACATTACTAACCTGGTCATCAGTCAGAGAAGTGAGGTGATGCTCAAGCTCCTTTATACTTTCTCCCTCAGACAAGGACAGAATCTTGTCAATGGCTGTCTTCATACTGCACACCTATTCAGGTCTGTAAACCTTTAAAAACAGTTGAATTTACATATACAGTACTAAACACCAATTCTGTGGAACAACTTCAAAGAGGTCTATCATTAAAAAACAACTCTCATATGAAGGACATTCTACATTAATAATAGCAGCTTCATGACAACTTAGATAAAATTAAACATTTATTTCACTGTTTATTTTAAACACATATTTCACTGCGAGTATTTTACAATTGACTGACCAGTGAGTAACTAATTTAATGAATTAATCTAACTTACCCTAACCCTGCTGCTGGAGAGTTGCTTAGTATTTGTTTTCAAAGCTCTAGACTCACTGGATCACACACAGATGGTGTCAAGGAAAACTAACAGGCCTAGACCACTTTGTAATGAAATCTGCCTCACAGAGGTGTTGCAAAACAGGTCCCCAAAAAGAGTGATCATCCCATGACACTTGACCAGAAACATGCCACTTTCCCTGATTTTAACAAAGCTTTCTTTTATTTGTGCAATTGACCAGGGTATTCTGAACACTCAGGTATGGACGCTGCAATTTTAACACTCAATTTAACTGGTGAAGAAAACAACTTCTATGATAACGACTCGCTTGTGGAACTGACAACATGAATTTTTAATAATTCAGTGATTAATCGACACATCCAGCTACAAAGCCAAAGAAAAATGAAAATTTTGTTTAAAAAGTGAACATCAGTCAAGCTTTTTCAGGGTGCAACAGGGAGAATAGGGAGGCCTGTGCCCTGATTTGTTTACCTAACAAAACTCCTCCCACAAAGCTGCCATTGATCATAAACCGAGTAATACATTCAAGTATGGATTAGACTAGTTAACTTTTTCTAGTGTCAACTGGACCTAAAGTAGATCAGATAGAAAGTGCCTTTAGATAATATAGTTAGCTGTAACGTTAATGATCCAGACTATAGGTACTACATACCAAAAGTAAATAACAATTTCAAAAATAAAAATAATATCACTTTCCACAGGGCTGTTCTCTATTTCAGCCCTAGATGTCAAGATTATAGGATAAATCCGAAATCTGCTTTAATCTGATCTTTTATACAGAAATGGTAGACGATTTTAAAGTCGCGATTTTACCGATTACACGGCAAAAACTCGTATTATTGTCCATGTCATAGAGGATTATGCAGTTATTTGGAAACAAAAATATGCATTAACCTTAACCTGGTTTATACTGTAACGTTATGTGTATATGTACAAGCTGTTGTTCAGAATAGGTAGCGGTAACGTTAGCAGTACAACTATTTGGTCTTTCGTATTTTTCAAACCGTTCGAGCATCTTAAATACACATAAATGCTATATCGTATGCCTATTTTCTCTGTGACATGAGAATTACCTGTCTGGTGAAGCTGTAAGATGCTTATAGATGTTCCCTACAGTGTAATTTGGTTTGTTCAGTCTCCTCCGGACAAAATAAAACTTGCCCTGTGTGAAAAACTCCCGCCAGTTCAACTGTAATTTTCCTTCCTTTTCCGTAGGATCCCATGGAGCCTCGTGATTGGTCTATTGTTTTAAGCTCCGCCTTCCGTCAGAGTTCATTGGCGATCGTCACACAATTTGACGTCTAAACCACCTATTCGTCATCGGGCCAGTGGCGCAATGGATAACGCGTCTGACTACGGATCAGAAGATTCTAGGTTCGACTCCTGGCTGGCTCGGAATGTTTTTAAAGTTCGGTTCACAGAACCGGTTCTTTTGAACGGCTCGTTCCAAGGAATCGAACATCCGATTCATGTTTCGGGAGCGACTCGTTGTGTGCGCACCAATAAACACCGTCTTGGTTTACAGTGTAAACCGTGAACTCTGTACAAAACTAACAACAAGCTCTACTTTCATGTTGATCTATAATTAATGCTAAATACAGTCTAAGCATTTGATGCCGCTCAAATCTGCCCATGAAACGCAGTCAGGTGAACAATAGCACAATGACACCGCTTGTCAACAGGTTCCCCTTATCGGGTCTATAATCTAGATTCTCTGTAATTCTGCTCTTATTACAGTGAGCAGCTGTCTAACTGACAGATACTCGGATGCAGGCATCGAGTTCCAGTCTTTACTCAATATACTTGTGGACACACGATGAATAATCCCAGCGTTAGAATCGTTAAACCGTCAGCACGGGATGCCCTCGCGCGTCAACTTACACATAAAATATATGATTTTTACATTCAAAACGTACTTACTGGTTTACATTTGGAATTAACCTGTCTGTATCACTTGTTATATGATATATAATTTATACTTAATCGTAAACGAATTAATTAACTAGTTAATTAATTAACTAACAAATGAACAAATGGACGAATGAATGAACGAATGACTGAATGAACTACAACAGAACAAAAATATAGAATCTTTGTTAGAAATGGAGTTAAAATCATGTTTTATTTTTAAAACTGAAACACGTTCAAAGACTAACCGCACATGTACCTGAAGTATAAAAAGTGCCTTCTATGGGAGGCGAACCCAGGGCCGTATTTTACTGTCAGTTTTTTTTAACGAGCAACAATCGACCCTGTGTCGAGCCCTTGATGTGAGCCGTGTCCAATCATGCTTAATTTTTCCCAATCAAACTGCGCCTCGCTGTGGAGCGGAACCGAAGATGGTAGGTTCGAGTCAGCTGTGGGTCTTCACTGCGTAACTGATTCTTTACGTAAGAAGCTAAACTGCGCTGTGAATAAATCCTTTCTTCAAAGAACAAGGCCCCAGTGAAGGGGATGATATAAGTAGAAAGATTTATCAGTCATGAAGAGGTGAGAGAACAGCTCTCTCTATTTAGGTTAAATTATCCAGTTTACTGAAACATCCAGTTCGTCAAATACCACCTTTGTCCACCACAAGGCTTCGGCTAAATTAATTTTAACACCAAAGTGTCACAGCACTCGCTTCTAGCACCATACAGGCCACTGTGGTATTATTAAACGATGGGCTCGTCTTTAAAGTGGACTTGTTTAAACGGATCTCGGCCGGACATTCTGATATGTGCATCTCATTGCTCCGTGATATTGTTCGTGTGATAAATGTCAGTAGGATTATTTGAACGTATTTTAAGCAACATAAAAGTATACAGTTAACTATTTCAGTGCTCTTGAATGGTCACCAGTCAGCCTCTGTAACGCTGAAACATGAACGATTACAGACCTAAAGTGAATTTAAAAAGTGAATAATGTACACATCAATTAATTAATCAGGTTTTCCATTGCAACCCATTAAACACTTTCCAGGAATTGCGTGCATCTACTGCTTTCCGCTGGATTCGAAGTCCTCGGTTTCCTGAAGACACACTGACATGAGAAAGAGAGAGAAAATTATTGGACAAAAGGCAGACATAAGCAAATGTTGCGTGCTTCTCATTGGCTGTGAGGCTTATGCAGAGAATTAGCTCAACATCGGGCCAGTGGCGCAATGGATAACGCGTCTGACTACGGATCAGAAGATTCTAGGTTCGACTCCTGGCTGGCTCGAAATGTTTTTAACTTGGCTTTCACTTTCTTACTGGTTCAGCTGGGCAAAAAACAAACAAACAAAAAAACACAGCCCTGCAAAGCTCTTGGAGCAACTTTTGAGGAAAAACACATTCCTTTGAAAAACGTATACCCAGAAAACACAACGTTGTCACAGCGTTGTCTACTTTTTTTACAACGTTGTCAAAAGGTGGTGCTGTTTACGTTGTCTCGACAAGGCTGTCACGGCGTTGTCACAACCTTATTACTCAGTGAAGTTGCGGGTTGTGTTTTACAACTTAGCACAGTTCCTTGGAGCTCCATGCACAACATAATGGAACTCAGGAATGTTCTAGAAGGTTGTGACAACATACTGACAACGTTGCGCCTACGTTGTCTGATAACGTCACAACTTTCTGAGGAATCACATTTTAACGTTGTGGGCAACAAAACAATAGGTCGTCACAACGTTGCCACAACGTAACTGTGTTTGCTGGGTGGATTTCCAGTAGTGAGACTTCTCGGTTAACCGGGTAATTCAGGCCTGATTTGAGGACATATATAAGCAAGTACACTCGCTTTTGAATTAAACTATTCAAATTACTGAAATCCTGCCTGGTGAAATAACACCGTCTGTCCTGTAATAGAATATAAACAAGGCTTTGGCTATTCAACAACTAAAAAGTAGTGCTTGCTTCGGATTTCTTGGCATTATTTTTATATAATGGACTTGTCTTTGTCTTGCTCAGTGGTCTTGCTCAGGAAAATCAGGTACATCATAAACAAAGCAGTACAGCATGCAGTAGATGCAGCGGAGTAGCTAGGTTAAGTAAATAGATTATTCAGCTAGTAGATCTCTTCCACCGCTGTCTGTGAAATGACTGAAACCCCTCCAGCCCCCCGGCCGGCCGACCAGCCCACGTCACGGGAAGACGCCCAGTCACGTAGTGGAGGAGCACGGCTGACAGACGAGGGTGTGCGTGTCGACGTTTCACGGTGAGAGGAGTACAGGCGGACGTACTGACTGACGGACTGGGCCGGTGAGGAGAGGAGCGGGAGGGAGAGAGAGAGGGAGGGAGAGCGGAGAGGGACTGACGGACGGCAGCTGTTCCGCTGATGTAATGTTGCCCGTTTGGTGACTACGGATGGCGGTGTGTGCCAGACTCTGCGGAGTGGGTCAGTCGCGGCGGTGCAGGCGGCGACAGAGGCACGGCCAGCACGACCAGCACGGCAGCGACTCCGAAATGGACATGGACGAAGAAGAGGGGGAGAAGATCGTGGGCGAAACCAGGGGCAGCGGCGGCGGCTGGCCTCAGAGCCGCGCGCCGGGGCCTAGCGAGGCCGCTGCCGTCAGCGCAGGAGCGCAGAGCCCGCAGTCTCTGCTGGATCTTCCCCCAGAGCTTCTAGTGGAGATTTTCTCCACGTTGCCCGGCACAGCGTTGCCCAACCTGGCCTTGGTGTGCAAGAAATTCAGGCAGATCCTCAGCACGGAAACCATCTGGAGGAGACGATGCATAGAGGGTAAACAACACCACTACCACCACCAGAGCTCGCCCGCCCGAGCAGACCGGCTGGAATCAGCTGTGTGGGGGGATATCCAGCTCGGCTAGGGTGCCTTATATGACGCTGCACTATTTGGGTTAACTGGGGCTTTGACCGTGTTTGGCTATGCTGGGGAGATGAGCTGCACTCTTATCAGAGTCTCTACGCAGGCTGCTTATTTACTGTAGCTACATGCTAGTCGTATTTGGGATTGGCTGCTGATCTGTAGTCTGTCAGCAGTTTCGTTTCGATATGAACAGATCGCCGTGTCGCAGGCCACCGTACCGATGGCGCATGCATGTTTCAGTCTTGCATTATTTTGTACGTATGTCAGGGTAGGTGTCCGTAGCCTTGAATGAGCAGGATTAGGCAACGTTTTGAGCACTGGTGCGAACCGCTAATCTCTGTAATTCAGTGTGCTCCAGTAGCAGCTACGCGCGCACGTACATTACTGCTGCTGTACACAGGTGAGCCTGGCTGACTGACTGACTGCTGCTCTCTGCTGCTCATTTCTTATTCAGAGTTTGGCATGAAGGATGACCTGCGGAAGATGGAGGTCGTGGGTGTGTCCAGCAGGGAGCTTTATGTCAAACGTGAGTATGCTCATTATCCAGACAGCCTCTGTGGATCATCTTCCTGAATCGCAGCAGACAAGCCGTATTAAAAGAATGAGCTCAGTCTGACTTTTTTTATTAAGACTAACATGAATGAAAGCCCGTTCCAGTGTATGTAAGGCAGGGGTGTCCAATCCTATCCACAGAAGGCCTGTATGGCTGCAGGCTGTCAATCCAACAAAGGAGGAGCACACTTGATCAGTTGTTTGTCGACTGAGCAACTGCTCAAACAAGTGGAGTCAGGTGTTCTCCTGCTCATTTAAATGAAACCCTGCAACCACAATGGCCTTTGTGGATAATATTGGTCTAGAATAGATTAGCTATTATGCTGTGCATATATTTGTGTAGTCATGAATGGTTTATGTGGTTTTCTTGCTGCATCCATCCCTCAGGCTGCTTTGACCTCATAACCGATCAGGCTTTTAGCTTCATCTCCACACTTCAGAGTTTGCAACTCAGCAGGCTGGTCTGATGGGTCCCTTGATGGCCTTCTGCTGCACTCTGACGTCTAGTGCTGCAGTGTCCTCCCTTAGTTGCTCATAACAGTAGCTAATGTGGCATGTCCCTGACCCTGCATTATATAGGCCTACTTTGCACTGCAGTGCATTATTGCATCTCCTTACTTTTAAGTAAGCTATTAAAGGGCCCATATCCTATATTTGTCTTGTATTTCATTGTTTTCAAGTTAGAAAAGGTCAATTTCCTGCTGAAACACTCCTTATAGCTTCAGTTCAAAAGGCTAGGGTTAAGTGTGTTGACAGATGTATGACATCACAAAAACAATGGATTCAAAAAGCTGTGTTTTTGCAACTTATTTTCCATGTATGCACCCTATGGACTGGGGAATGAATGGTATATTTTGAAATTTTAGCAACATTTACATACCACATACTCTCTTTTATTTGGAAAAGTGAGGTTTTCCATTACATGGGCCCGTAAAGGTTTTTTAATGGCTGTGCGCTTGAAAAAGTAGAATAAGGCAAAAGAGTGAAGAAGTATGGAAGATGTATCGACTGTTTAATTTTCTGCATAATATGCTGTCATGTGACATGCATTGCGGCTTAATCCTGTTCGTTCCTCTTCACATCACCTCTCCTTGTGCCCCCTTTAATCTCACCTCACATGTGTGCACATATGCGTAGTGTCCAGCTCACATGACTGGTCCTCTTTTGCCTATCCTCTCCTCCTGTGGTGCCTCCACCTGTGTACCTGTCCAGGTGTGAACCCTCGGGTGAAGTCAGGACGCTTTATGAAGCTCCTTCCCGATTACGAGCACATGGACTATCGGGACGTGTACACACACTGTATGTACTGCCAGGTGTGTGGGCTGAATGTGGTGGTCCATCTGCGTGGCCACTCTGCAAGTGGTGTTTGGTAGAGGTTGCCCTTTCCTGCTGATCTGGGGGCAGTTGATTGGCGATTTTATTCTAATGATTTCGGGTCAGGAGCTGGGTGGGAGAAGCCATTCCTAGATCAGCACAAAAGGGCACCTTCTGCCTGGAGCCCTGCACGCCTCTGTGTCCTGCATGCATGGGAGAAGGACACACACTGGCCTGACATGCAGGACTCTGCGGTGATCCTAACCTGACCTGATTGTGTGAAGTGGTTCTTCTTTTATTAGTAACTCCTGCTTTCTTTCACACTGCTTACTTGCAAACAGTGATGTTTTAGACTATTGAGTTGTGAGAGTTTGTGAATGATCGGTAAGTAGGGGTGGGTAATATGTTAATAATTATCATTACTATGGTAAATTGCATCACGTTAAGTCACAATATGCTTTACTGAGCATATCGTGGAAATCGTTCATACTTAAAAGAACACTGATGAGCTGCATGTTTCCTTACAAAGAGAGCATAACTAGACATTATTAATGAGATTTAGTGCATTTGTGTGGGTTTATGTTATCAAAACAAAAATCTTTGTGTTCATAGTTTTTGATAGTATTTTTCAAATGTGACACTACTAGTGTTTTTTATCTATTCTTATCAAGCTTCAAGAAAACTATCCTGAATCATAACGTGTATCATGCAAGTGTCTTGAAGTATCGTGATGTACTTTTGCAATATCGCCCACCCTTATTTTTCAGTGATCTGATATTTGTAAGTAATTTAAAAACTTTAAGCAGTTAAGGTCATTGGTGGACAAAGCATGTGCATCTTAATATTTAGTAGCTAGTGAGTTCTGCATTATTGGCAATAACCTTCCTATAGCTAGTCTAGGGTTAGGAGGTATTTTTCTGTGTAAAACTGCTTCAGTTCAGTGCATTTTACCAATATCTCACTGAAACATTTGAATAGGATAGAGGTCAGAAGTATGACTATATTCAGTCTAAAATACAGTACTTCTTCTATTGAAGTCACTCTGCAGTTCTTCTATGTTAGTACTTCTATGTTTTAGGACATTGGCATGTTGCAAAGCCCAAACGCTTTTGACTTTTAAATTAGATACCCTGACATTCTGCTGTAGAATTTACAGTTTTATAATTCACAAACTGACAAGCTTTTCTATAATTCTAAGCCCTGAGACACAACCTTCCAGACGGTGAATCGATAGAGAAATCAATTGTAACACTCTCCAGTACTTTTTTACTCTTTTTCTGAGGTCAACCGAAATTGCACTTGAATAGAATTCTGCTGGAGCAGGCAACCAAAAAGTGTGCTTTTGTTGGTAAAAGCCGTATCCACATTGAATGGAATACCTGATTCCAATTATGTTTTTTAAGGTCATTCTGCACTCTCAGAAAAAAAGGAATGAAACTATCACTGTGGTGGTACCCTCAAGGGTAAATCTCAATACCTTTAGTCAGGGAATATAACTGAACGGTAATCCATTGAAATTATATTTTCTAGGTTGTATTGGCTCCACACACCCCGTCTCATCTCCAGGCTTTTTATTTTATTGTTCTGTTTTGAAACATTAGGTTATGAAAAGGTACAAATACGTACTTTTCACTAAGGTACACATTTGGACCCTAAAACCACTGATGTACCTTTGAGGGAACATCGACATTATTTGTACCTTGAGAAATGTACAAGAAATGTACCTGCACAACAGTGTAACAGTGTAAGGCTTTGTATACATTCTCCAATGACCTTGATTGTTTAGACTGCTTCTTCTTTAATTTGTTTGTCACCGCTTATATTTATTGTGACTGTGATGAAAATCAGATCACATTTTGGGAGCTGAAAGTCAGTTCTAACGGGTTCACACATTTTTTCACAAGTGCAATATGTATTCCCCTGACAGAATGGAGTTGTTATTGCTGTAATTTTCACTTTCTAACCACTCTCAATAGAAGGCACAACTGTGGATGCAGAGTTATGCGTTCAGTGTCAGTGTAATTACATAGAAGCTCTACAAAGACAAGGAAACTGCACACTAACACATTGTGTTGAAATGCCCTGCAATTACCTCCTTTCCTCTCATTCTTTCCCGTGTTGATTTGGTGCAACTGCATGCCACTCAGCCCGGTGTTTTTTGGGTTCTGTAAGTCCATATCTTTTGTTTGCGTTGCAGTGCTCCATCCTTACAGACACATTTTGGGTCTCTGGCAGCCAGACATAGGCCCCTATGGAGGTCTGCTCAACGTAGTGGTACGTCGTTTCACTTTTAATAAATGCCTTTAAGATGATTTCCCAACACTAGAACTTGTTTGTGCTTGTTTTTATTTCCATATCAGTGTGCTAATGTAGAATTTGTTCATCTCTGTTTTGTAATGTTTCTGGGTAGGTGGATGGGTTGTTCATCATTGGCTGGATGTATCTGCCACCACATGATCCCCGAGTGGAGGACCCAATGCGCCGCCGTCCTCTCTTCCGCATCCACATGTGGGAGAGTAACAAAGCCACTGTGGAGTGCATGTATGGTCATAAGGGCCCTCACAAAGGAGATATTCAGGTCAGCGTGCCTGTCAATCAAAACAAGTTTGCATACTTCTATTCAAGGGCCCATATCCTATATTCTTTTCCTGTATTTTACTTTTTTCCCCCCTAATATCCATGACATTTGTGTGGGTATGGCCCAGTTCCCCAGACCCAGTTAAGCCTAGACTAAAAGGATTTTCCAGTGGTGGTTCACCTTTGACTCCGCAATTTAGTCCAAGACTAGGCTAAATCCATGTTCAGAAAACTAGCCCTATATGTAGCACTAACAGTGTAATAGTCATGATGCATGTTTACATGACTGTCCCAGCCTCTTAGAATTTATCCCTTTTTGTTACTGTGCCTTTAAGACTGATATATGTAAATGACCTCTGTTGTGATTGGCTGCTCTATATTGTGTTTCACTCAAGAGCAGCCCAGGTCCAAACACTCCTTATAACTTCAGTGTGATTATGGACCGTATGGACTGTGAAGTGTATGTTTTGTAACATATGTACATACTACATACTACATAAAAGGTTGAAAAAAGTGTTACAAAGTTTTGTATTTTCTCATGATATGGGCCCTTTAAGAGTATTGCAATTCCAAAAATGACAGGTAGGTGGAGTAGAGGTGACATAATGTAAAATGTGATGCTTATGTTTTGTAGACTGTAAAAAAAGATGAGTTCTCAACCAAATGCAACCAAACAGATCACCATCGAATGCCAGGGGGCAGACAAGAGGTAAGGGACCACCTTTACTCAACCAAGCTTCCTTTTTTTGTTGTTAAAATCTGAACAGGTTTGACATTACATTCATGAGGTGGATTAGAAGGTATTTTGTTTCATCTTAATTGGAAGGTGGTATTTTATGCCTAAGTTTAAGAGAAGGTATGAAGTACTGTTTGCTTTTTTGACTGATTTTGTTTGTTTGCCTGCCTGTTTTTGCAGGAGTTCCGTACTTGGCTGGAGGAGGAATGGGGACGGACACTGGAGGACATTTTTCATGAACACATGCAGGAGCTGATTCTCATGAAGTTCATCTACACCAGCCAATATGAGTAAGTCTCTTAGTCAGTCTTGCCAATTAACAGTTGCTCTGAAGCTTACAACAACACAACACAGTAGTTTACAATTCTGCAGTGCTTTGCCGTGATTTCTTTTTAGTTATGTCTTATTAAATGCACACTAAGAGACTATGCTTCATATGTAGAGAACAGTAGTCACATGTAACTGTGTTTATAAATTATTATTTCTTTGTAAAGAGTGCAAAGGTATTGATCTAAAAGGGTTCAGGCAAAAGAGAGAGGCCTGATGTGAATTATTTAGAGTCATTTTTAGGGAAGCATATTGGAATGATATCGGTATCGACAGATAATTGTTAAAACCATTTTATCTGTATAGGACAGATGATTAGATATGACCAGTGTTTCAGTATTTTATGATGTATTTGATGATCTACTCTGGAAGAGCAGAATGTTAAGGTGATGCTGGGCTACTGTACTAAAATGTCTGCATTTTCTTCATTTCATACTACATTTGTAACTGTACAGAATTAAATGTCATATTTTTCCATATAGCTAATCGGGTAGATTTAATCCTAATTTCTACATTTTATAAACATGTACATATAGGCATAAGCAGATATGTAGATGAAAATATTGTATATCACCATCAGCCAATAATTCCCATATCAGTGAATTGCTAGAATTAGAATTGCTGAATTTGAACACACATTGCAGAAATGTAACACACTTTCTGTCTCAGTGGTTTTCAGTACAGCATGTGTACTGTGTTTGCAGTAATTGCCTGACGTACCGACGTATATACCTGCCCCCGTGCCTACCTTCAGACCTGCTGCAGCCGGGCCTCTTCAAAGGCACATACGGCAGTCATGGCCTGGAGATCATCATGCTGAGCTTCCATGGCTCTCGGGCCAAAGCCACCAAACTTACAGTGAGCCCCCATGTTTTTTCACCTTATATATATATATATATATATATATATATATATTAACAGCCTTACTGTGCCTATATAAACATTCTGAAATCAGCTTAAAGTGGTAAAATAGAATAAACATTGAATAATTTTAAATGTTCCTGATTTTGATGAATTTCCGCTTGCCCCTTAGGGTGACCCTAACGTACCAGCGGGTCAGTTGACCTTAGACATAGACCTGAGTCAACCAGTGCAGCTGCCTGACTTGGAGCACCAGCGGAGTATCGAGGAGCTCTCTCGCCTGGTGATGGGGGTGCATGAAGAGGTCCAGAGGGGCTCCCAAGGTCCTGCTGCTGCTGCATCAGCAAATGCAGAAGAGGGCTCCTCTGGGGCAGAGGGCTCTGATGCTACCCCTGCCAGTGGCGCTGAAGCAGAGGAGGCTGGTGCCAGAGCAGCTAGTTCTAGCCCTGAATCCCAGCCCTTCGTCCTGCCTTTAGGAGTCATGGCCCGCAATGAGGTTTACCCACGCACATGCAAAATGTGGTGAGTATCACTGTCTTATCATTGTGCACTGTGCACAATTTCAAGTCCAGGTACATATTTCTCTGAAAGCAGACTGATTGGTCAGTCTGATTAGATTTTTTTCTCAGTTTCAATTTGGAGTCAGTTTGAACAGTTTACACCTTTTCAAGTTTAAAATGATATTTAAAAAGGTATTTTTCTGGGCAGTAAGAGTATTTGCACTAATATGCCAATAAATACAAATAACATTAATACAGCAAACAGTGGTTTTATGTACGGCAGTTTGTTTGACCATTTCCAATACCTGGTTTGGCTAATCAGTGTTTTGGCTAATCAGTATAACTTTTTACTGTATTTATCTCTATTTATTATAATGTTATATGATGATTTTATTTTTTTATATGCATAAACACACACATACTCTTCTTATACAGTACTATGCAATGGTCTTTTGCACCTAACCACATTATTTATAGCTAATTATCCGGTCAATAATTTTGTTTTTTTTGCTTGCAAATTAAATTCTGAATTGTACCAAGATGATTGAATCAAATCACTTTAAAATTTAAATTCTTCATGATTGCATTAAATCGTTTATGCATTACATCAAGCAAAGTTAAGAGATTCAGTTAGGAGATTCATACCCCTAGTAGCTGATTTGTAAAGCATACATAAGAATACTTGTGAAAAAGCTTTGCTTGAAATCACCAACTAATAACTGATTTCTGAATGTGTATCAGTTTCTATGGAACAGGCCTCATAGCTGGTCATGGCTTCACAAGCCCAGAGCGCACGCCAGGCCTCTTTGTCCTGTTTGATGATGACCGCTTTGGTTTCATCTGGCTGGAGCTGAAGTCCTTCAGCCTGTACAGCCGGCTGACAGACCAACTGGAGCACGCTCAGGCTCCCAGCATGGAGCGCTTTGAGGCCATGCTCCGCAACATGCAATCATGGACATCCTGATAGCCAAGCACCTCTTCCTCAGCTATGCTCCCTACCATATGCATCCCACCCACCCCTGCAGGGCCACACCTCCAACTCGCCTGATTCAACTCTTAAGATGATTACCAATCCACTGATGAGTTGAGCCAGATGTGTTAGAGCAGGGACAGAAAGTGTTTATTGTTGTGGTCTCCCAGAATGGGAAGTGCCCATTACTGCTCTACATGCTCTGCAACCCGGTTTACGCTCTCTGCCACTCCACACTCCCACACAACCTGAAGAAACCTCCCGATAATCTCACATATACACAAAGGAAAATCCTGCCACACAGGTATGTTTGCAGCGGCAAGTACATAAAAGTTGTATTATACCGAGGCTTTCTTATCAGCTTTTTAATTAATTTATTTTTGTAACCTGGAGATGATGAATATGAGGATGATGTGACAATTCACCCACATACTCTGGAACAAGCTATGTGTGCCTCTGTATTATTACCATGGTATTTAACCCAAGACTACTCTTAGAAACGTGTAGCTGCCTGTACTCTTGAAATGATTTTAAGTTATAAATGTCTGTCTTCAACAAGCGTGGGATCTTTCAGCTGTTTAGTTGATGGTAGCTTTTAATTGATGCAGTGTCCTTTGTCTGATTTCATTCTTTTTGACTATGAAATTTTTAAATCTGTACTGCTGTTGCATTGCTTTTATTTCTCTTGGTTATCGGTGCCCATGAGGACAATAGTTTGCCTTTCTTGTGTTTTGATTTGAATGTTTTTAAGAAATGACTGACATAGCCTGTGGTACACAGTGAAATGGTTAGTATGTGAACCTTGATTGACCCATGATAAATACCTTGATCAGTCACTGGCTCTGAGTGCTAGTTTTCTTACAAACAATGGCATTAGTAAAGCAGACCCCTAAAGACTAAACTAAAGCTTTTATGATGGTCCAAACTTTACACACTGGGGGTTTGTCTTGTCTAAAACCAGCCATTGCTTTATTACAAGAACAGACAGGAATTTAGCTTGATAGCATCTCTTGGAGCTAAATCTTCATATTCGGTAACAACACAGTTGTAACATTTGCCCACTTTCAATTTGTTAGCCCTTGAATAATGCACTTAACCTGAGTTGCACCATCTAAATCTGCATTATATGAACATGTATTGCGATGAATATGCATGCTGTACTAATACATGTAGGCTGGTCAATTCACTTAATTAGAAAATTGAGCATATTTCATTCACATACATTTATGGACTGCTTTATATCTCAGGTGCCATACCTATATATGTATTCTCTTAAATTAATAATATTGTTAAAATTCATGATACCTGTTCTGAACTATCAGCAAAAACATTTCAGAATGTTTATAAAATTACGTGGATTTGCAATTGGTAAATATGTTAGTTGTACGCGTCCCAGCTAAGCTTTTGTCCATCATGATGAAGAAATGGCGCTACTAAGCAAAGAAGGTATCTCTGAAAACGGCATACAAGTGCAGATCATCACCAGCGAGTACCTGCAAAAATCACGAGCTAACAGGCAGTCTGTGCCTGCCTTAGCTTCCATTAATTATAAATGACGGGTTACTTGGTAGTTACACATCTCTCCATCTAGACAAAAACTTTGTTGGGCAGCTTTAATAATAGGAGCAGTGGCATGCCTTCCTACCTTTTGGACTATATTTTGAAGCACAACATGTTAGTTTAGTCTCTAAGACATTTTCAGGCCATTTTCTCCAGCAGACCACAGTTCTGACAAATGCTTCCTTGTTCTGTGATGAGGTTCGATCATAAAGCTGTGCAGTGGCTCCTCTAAAAGTGCTCTTTCCTAAGCAGCATAAGCATTGACCAGACTAGATTCCTCTGTCTGTACTTTTGTATTCAACTGCAGCTTTGCAAAAACTAACCACTACAATATAAAAAAAAAAGAATATGTATGTGAATTGAATAAAAAATATTTAATTATATATTTCAGCCTTGTTTAGGGGTGATTGTGCACATAATTGCAATGTTCGTTTTAAGCATACCACCTGTCTGTTGTGTGACCTCTACAGTGGGAACGAATGTTTCAAATGGTATAACTAAATCAGTTCTTAAAGATGTTCTGAGAGGAAAGTTGTGTCTAATGTAAACTCCATTGCATACAACTTCAGGGAGCTTTGAAGCATCTATGTTTGTCTGTTCCCAATAAATTAAAGTAAAAACTTTTCTGTTTTTGTCTGATTTGCTGTTTCAGGTCACAGACACCATTTCACTATTTTGTCAGCCATCTTGAAAACGTATGTTGACACTGGCTTATGAACAGGCAGATGTTTCACAAAGCAGGATTTTTCAGTTAAACAGTTAAACTTAAGCTCAATGTCAAGCCTGTTCAACAGAAAGAGAGGCCAGGCATGTTCCTACAGGACAGTCTTCCTTTTACAGCTTAAGTCATCCAGCTGAGAAATCCTGCTTTAAGAAATGTGACCTTGGATTTCTAAGTTAGGCAGATAACTTTAGCCCAAAGTAAGGACTTTCCCATAGGAAGCTGTCCAAGCTCTTCTCTTATAGGACAGACTTTGAGCCCAAGTTATCTGATTGACTAAGAGATTCTGCTTTAGGCTTAATACCCACTAGGCCTTTTGAATATTTGCCAGGTGGTGCGTATGATACATATTCAGATGCAGACTTCTCTTTACGAAACAAACGGCAGAGATTGTTTTTGTTTTTTTTAATTAAAATATTTAGATTTGATCTTTTTAGAATGTTTAGATTTGCTCATTGTCAAAGATTGACAAACATTTAGTTCTTCACTCTAATAGGAATCTTCAGTGACATCTATAGCTCAGTGTGCTCCCTTTTCTCCTGAGCCGAGCGCACCAGCTCTGGCAGCTTCTCAGTCATGAAGATGTAACGTTTGGCCTTCAAGTTCCTGCCAGGCTTCTGCTCCAGCCCAATGCCCAGATACTCAGCTTCAGCACCATATTCAGGCCATGGTGTCAGGTCTGGCCCATTTGGAGATCTGCCAAATAGACAAAGCCCCAAATATGATACACTGTACATGGCACAATGCAATCAAACCACATAATGTGGAAATTTCAGAATTATTCACTTCCAAAATGTCACTGAAATCGAAAAATAACATTTGCGGTAGCCCTCAGATTTGGCACTTAAACGTATTACTCACCCAGTGCGGGCAAAGTTCCCCCAGTAGGCCATCACAGTTCTACACAGTTCTTTCTCTATCTCTGTGACAGAGGCTGAATAGAGGAAAATGAAAAGTACACTTATAAGAACAAAGTTCAGTTAACTCTTACCTATTAAAGTACTGATTTATCTGTCATTACATAAATAAATCAACAAGTGAAATGCTCCCACACTGTTTTACAGTAAATGTAATCAAAGGCATTAATCTGCAAGTAACAAAGCTAATCTGATATTATAATAGATGGAGAGACTGACAACATGTGCCTACCCGTTGTTTTGACATGGGCATTTCCAAAGCACAAGCCAAAAACGAAGAAAAGATCATCTCCATGATCAGTCCTGACAAAACTGGGCCTCTGTGCTTGAATAAAGCTGGGAGGTTGCTGGAACTGATACAGGTAAACTGGCGCACCAGCACCTGACAGAACAACATTAATGAGCTTTTCATTTAAACGTTTAAACTGCAGAAAATGTGAATTCAGTGATCTTCTGTAACAACTGTCTCCAACCACGGTCCTGGAGAGCTACCTTCCTGCAGAGTTTAGCTCCAACCTGTATACAAGAAGTTGCCCCACCCCTTACTTAACTCTAATAAATCTGATCCAGCCAATCAGGGACTTGGGAGGAGGCTGATTAGATGGAGCAGGTGTGGCAAATTGTGGTTTGAACTAGGCCCTAGAGAAAGGTAGCTCTCCAGGACCAGGGTTGGAGACCACTGCTCTATAAAGTGTGCATCAATGAATGAACCATTTTTTGACTTCTAGAGCAATCAAGGTGGATGCCTTATTATGATTCAGATTTGGCATTCATAGTTCTAGATATAATACATACATAGTGTTAAGATGTCTGATTTCTGAACCTTCTTCTTTACCTTTATGGAATTTTGCTAGCTTGAGAGCAGGAATGTTAAAGATGATATCTGCCATCATCTCTCTGTAACTGTCACGAATTTTGATCTGGTCAGCAGACGAGCCCAGGTACTCATCTGCTATCAGTTCATTGATCCATTGTTTTTTGACCTTAACATAAAGGAGAGGACAACAGGTGAGTCAAATTTAAAATGTTCACACAATACCCTGCATTTTTATCATTAATATGATGTTGTGAGTAAAATAAAAATAGGAATCTACAGTATTATATTTAGAAAATGTATTAAAAATCTAAAGTAGTCTATTTGATGTCAAACAATATTAAAAGTTAGATCATGTTAATTAAATACACTGCTATGTAATTAGTTTGTATGATGTAACTTTTGTGCTCTTACATCAGGCATAAAGGCGGCCACTGATGAAAGGACTTGCTCTCTATCCATTCCATCAGCCCATCCTGGAGGTCCAATGAACTGTGGGAACAGATGATTATGAATGTTATCTACTGATATTTTTCCAAATATCTCATAAGATTAATTCCAAGATCAAGTTCCATGGAACCCAATGTGCCTTCTTTCCAGTGAAGTGGGCACTTCTCTGACTAACAAACTCCTAACTTTACAAGATATTTAAAAGGTTTACAGCTGTATAATGTGACTGTAAAATAAAATACTATATTATTTACTCACACTGGGCATCATCCAACCATACTCATCATCATTTATGCCAATCAGGAGAGGCACTTTGCTGAACTCCTGGTTTTGAAGGAGCTCCTCCACAGGCTTGGGAAGAAATGCTTTATCTTCTGTCACCACAAAGTGCAGCATAAAATGCTAAAACAAAAAACTATTTTCAGTATCTTAGTAAACAAAGGAATTACTTACAAATTACTCACATCGCAGGGCAGATTTTGTTAGATTGAGGCATTTTTATCATGGCCTAGAGGAGTAGAAAGCAGCGATTTCATGAGTGTCAATGCTGGTGGGATGAAGCAGTTCTTTCCCAACTTAGAATAATGACCAGAGCCATCTCTGTTACATAATTATTATAATTATTATGTTACTTATGTAATCACTTTTTCATGCTTTTTATTTTTAATCAAATGAAGCTCTCTAAATTTCTTACCTCTTTGGAAATTGTTATCATGTCCTCTGTTGACCACTGCTTTATGCACTCAGCAATTTTCTGTGTGCTGCTGATGTCACAACCTGATGCATTAGCCACTTGCTGGAATAATACACAAATAAATGTCAACATTTGCCAGAATGGAAATGTACAGTATGAAAATAAACAAGGGCTTTAGTTAACCTGGGCTACTGGCAAGGGATCCGCTACGATGCGTGCCATTGTAGCACAGCCACTCTGTGCAACTGCACGATGGAACAGACCAGCAGACAAGGGAGAGAGAAGCTTGAAGTCGAAAAGAGACACATAGCACAAAATCAGTCCCAGGTCCTGTAGCAGATTATAAAGCACTGCTAATGTATTTAATAAACTAAATATGCTTTTACAACAAATATAAATTAAGCACAGATCCCACTGATAATGACAGTATTGTGGCTTCTTTTTTATTGAAATTTCTCATGCAGTGTGGAAGAGTGGCAAATTAAAATTAAATTAAATTAGCCACACTAGGCTGTCCTACAGGAATGCAAGTTAAAATATAACTCTGTAATTAACCACCTACTGTCTATCAGTGAAGCAAAGATTTTAGACCCATGTTGGGAATACTAACCAAAATAGACTTTTCACTTGTAAAATAAATAATATAGCCTTGCAAAATCATCCTGGACCAAAACACTCAAGCATTTGTGTTTCAAATGCATTTCATATTAGCTGCTCACCAAAAATGACACACTGGCTCCTCCAGCAGACTCTCCAAAGATGGTGACTGATCCTGGATCACCTCCAAAGTTATGGATGTTCTCCTGGACCCACTGAAGTGCTGCCACCTGGTCCAGAAGACCATAGTTTCCTGGTGCATGTTCATCCCCTGTACTAAAAGGATAAATACATCATTAGACTTTACTCATTTACTCTATGATTATGACTACTTCAGTGTGCATCATTAGTTAAAAAACAGAACTCCCTTTTACCATTAATACCACTATATTAACACATGATAAGCATGATACATGTGCATTTCCAAAACAGAGGTGAAACAAGTTGCTTATTAACCCACAGAGTCTGAGGAAGTATGCAGTATAGTGGCTGTTATGTAAGAATTGAGTTGCATTGCACCATTATTGTTTTACTATGCTTGGAGATAAACAGCTGCATAATGACACAGTTTAGTAATACAAACTTTGTAGAATTGGGTTTCATAGAGGTAATGGGTTAGAAAATCCCATTCAAAAAATACAAAAAATAACTAAGTACTACAGTGTTGTCTCTGTCTCAGACTTACCTGAAGAAACCTAACAGACCCAGTCTGTACTGTATCAGCACAACTACTACATTCTGGTATGCAGACAAAATTGATCCATCATACATTGATGCAGAGCCCATACTCAGTCCCCCACCATGAATCCAAACCATGACCTAAAAACACAAGCAATAAAAGCACCCATTTGGCAACCTGTTATGACTCAGCCAATTTTTCCCCAAGCTTTTGAAGTATGAAAGGTCATTCCTTTTAGACACATACATTGGGCAGGGACAAAGGTAAAGTAAAGACAACTGGGTTGGTTTTGATAAGCGAGTAAGACAGAGGTGAGGAGCTGGTTGAGAGCTTACTGGTAAGTTGGCATCTTCACCAGGTTTTGCAGCAGTGTATATGTTGAGGTAGAGGCAGTCTTCCGACATTTCAGGAAGTTCTACTCTCAGTATAAAATTCGCAAGAAGGTCTGCAAGCATTTGCCTATTTTGTATGCACCTAAAAACATGAATATCAGTATTTGAAAATGAACATGTTCACAGAACCTATATGGCACTGGTAAAAGAAGAGCTATTATTGTATATAAAATATGAAATCTTATGGAAGTCAATAAACACATCTAGTCAGTTTGGCCTGTCCTGTAGAATAGTTCATATTCTACTGTACAGGCCACTGTGGCTATGCCAGCTATAGAGTTCACTTCTCTCTATTTTACATACACAATGTATGAGATTTTCAACAAAGTACAAATAAACAGATTGCTACTGAAAGGTAAAAAATATCGCCATTCATGAATAACATTAAGTAAAAATCCAAAGCACAACTGACGTTACAAATTTTTTTTCTGCATGTTGTGTGCAATTACATATTTTCACCAGAGAAGTCTCCAACTCCCCACAACTTATACAGCTTGAAGTAATACTTTTATTTATGTCCATAGCCAAGCTGAAAGAACAGCTTTTTACCTTAATGAAGAGTGCCATGGACATTCACTTTCTCAGTGTATGAGTTTTGTTGACCAAATCATTCATATTCAATGAATAACAACTAAAGAATAATGTATGGTATCAAATTTGATTATATATCAATTAGTCATATCCATCATACAAAAACAAAAGGAGATCAAAAAATGGATGAAATTAGAAAGTCTTACATGTGTGGCTGCTGTGTGGCGTCTCTCACTCCTTCCCATGCTTCTGCAGGTTGGGGTAGGGCGAGTCTCAAAGGGCCCACCGGTGGCTTTGCAAACGGCACTCCCAGGTAGCTGTGTACGACTGTGTCCTTCCCTTTAGCCGTCAAATACTCACCCTTTAGAGCTCCTAATTTGGTCTTCACAACAGGTCCTACCAATGGGTCAATGAATAAACATACTTGACAAAAAATTTGCTGTACAAAAAGTAAAAGGTCCTTAAAATATTCATAAATACAAAATATAATGTAATTAAAAATGGTCATAAATTCATAAAGTAAACTGATATGATAAAAAAGACAACATGTTCATACAATTGTATAACATCACATTTTCCTCAAGATGAAACGGCTGACTTTTAATTAAGCTTCTCTTGGGGTCAAAAAGTACAGCAAAACATGCCATAAACTTAATCTAATCTCAAAATAGTTCATATGGCTGGCATGAGTATTCACTACTGTATGGAAATATATACTGGAACAGATACTGATGAGATCAAAAAATACTGCAACAGTGAAAACCTTTCAATACAGTCAGAACATTGTGGTCTTAGTGCACTCTTTTCTTAACTTTGTTTACTGCATCTGGACTCAAAAGGGAAGTCTGCATTTGAGACGTACTGCAGATGTAATGGTACAGTGGGAGTGAAACATAAACTTTGCATGTGAAGTGTCACAGTATTAACAGTGTTATAAAAGCAGAGCTATGTTAATCCAATTCTCTACAGGTACAATAAGCACCGTAACACATGAGACTCACCATCTTTTTTCTCTCGTATTAAGCGTGAAACTGTCTCGGTCATGAACGTGTAGTGCTTTCCCTTCAGATTCTTGCCAGCTTTCTGCTCCAGCCCAATGCCCAGATACTCCCCTTCAGTTCCATACTCAGGCCATGGTGTCAGGCCGGGCCCGTTTGGAGATCTGTTCTCAGAAACACACAGAGAAAACTGTGTAAACCACAAGACAAGGACCCGGTGATGTTTACCCTACTTTGGGCAAAAAAATATGCTTTCGCAAGAGAAAGCAACACCTAGTGGCAATTACTGAAAGCCTAAATAGAGCAAAGCCCAATATGAAGGGCTCCCAAAGCTGTTGAACAAAGTTTGTTCTAATCTATTTCTGATTACTCTCATAAATCTCAAACCACAAAACTGCTTTCACAGAATTGACTACAAGTCATTTGCTTACATTTAGTTCAATTCAGTTATAATTTTCATGCTGCAAGTTTGAACACAAATGAACCAGACTTATTCCTTGAGGAACCTGCTTCATCTCCTCATTAAGAACAATACAGAGTGATGTGGACCAAGTCTGGGGACCTTTGAACTCAAATGGCTTCTCATTCAAATCGTGGCAGACAGCATGATTACTAACCCAGTGCGAGCAAAGTTCCCCCAGTAGGCCATCACAGTTCTACACAGATCATTCTCTTTCTCTGTGAACTGACCTGAGAGAGAGAGAGAGAGAGAGAGAGAGAGAGAGAAACATCTGCACTGTTATAACTAATAGTCACTTCGAACTCAACTGAATAGAATCCATTTAACACCTGTATATACTGAGATACAGGCAAGTCACAATAATGGGATAGTAATTATGAGAACGTAAGAGAGACAGAGAGAGAGAGGTGACAGTGAGTTTCAAGGCAGTATGAACTGAGGTCCTTCACTATTATATTACTGCATTAATTGTAAAAGGGTCACAGCTATTTTCATCTTACCAGAAATCCTACTGTGGGCATTGGCAAAGCAGCTACCAAAAACAAAATGAAGTTCATCAGCATGGTCACTCCCAACAAAGCTGGGCCTCCTCTTCTTGATCTCATTGTAAGTATGCTGGAACTCATACAAGTAAACTGGTGCTCCAGAATCTAATCATTAAAAAAAAACATAATATTGTCAAAAATCAGATATAATTTACAATCAGTACCAGAAAAAATAAATGGATGTTCACCTCTGTGGTATTTTGCCAGTTTGCGTGCAGGAATGTTAAACATCAAGTCCCCGTACATCTCTCTTAAACCATCTCGGATTTTAATTGGATCGTCCGTGGAGCCCAGGTACTCATTCAGCACTACTTCATGTACCTCACTGGGCTGAAGGAAATACAAAGGCAGAAACATTAAGACGTGTGTAGAATACATACACACATACATACATACATACATGCATATTCAGCCTCAATATAGCTTAGAATTTTAGCATGAGATCTGTACGGATAAGAGGGATTATCACAGCCGGGTCTTCACTTACACCAGAAAAAAAGAATGGCATTATTGACATGACTTGCTCTCTGTTGACTCCATCAGTCCATACTGGAGGAAGATGGGCCTGCGGGAAAGTTAAAATATTTTGGTTTTAGCAGTAATTACATGAACTAATGTACTAGTCATATTATGCTCAAAACCAGAATTTATAGAAAATATAATCAGGTTCATAAATATTTGGACAAAGACAAAGTTTTTGTTCTTTTTGCTGTCTAGCACAGTATATTGGAGTTTAAACTAAATAATCATTATGCTCAAAGTGCAGACTTTCAGCCTGAATTTGAGGGTATTTACATCCAAATCAGGTAAAAGGGGTAGATATAATATACAGCCATTTTCATAACCCACCCCCCACCCCCATTTTTAGGGGCTCAAACATAATTGGACAAACTAATATAATAATACATCAAATTTTATTTTTTTTAATTTAAATACGTGGTTACAAATCCTGACGTCAGGTGACTGACCTGGACATTGCAAAACATTTCACTTCTTTGCCTTAAAAAAAGTCTGAGGTTGATTTCACAGTATACTTTGGGTCATTGTCCACCTGCACTGTGAAGCACCGCCCAATGAGTTTTGAGGCATTTGGCTGAATTTGAGCAGAAAATATACACCCACGCTTGACACTCCCTCCATCATGCTTTGGATAATGAGCAGCTCCTTCTCTTCTCCATCCTCTTCTTCTGGTACAACATTTTTTCTCATCTGTCCTTAAGATGTTCCAGAACTGTACAGGCTTTTTTAGATGCCTGTTAAACTCTAGAATGTCCTGTTTTGAGGCTCACCAATAGCTTGCATCATGTGACAAGTCTTTACACTGGTTGACTTTAACACAGATCCTCCTACATCCTGGAGGGCGTTCTTGATCTGGCCAACTGTTGCAAAGGAGTTTTTCTTCACCAGGGAAATTGGTTCTGCAATTTCTCTGATGGACCTATTGTGATTTTTGATCCTAATGATTTCTTGCTTCACCGGTATTGACAGCTTGTCAGACTTCATATTGATAGTTAAGAACAAGAGATTCCAAATGTAAATACCACACTTCAAATCATTTTTTATCTGTTTACTTGTAAGTGAAATAATGAGAGAATAACATACACAGCCATGGCACAGCTGAGAAGTCAACTTTCAAATTACTTCTGAGCCCCTAAAATGAGGAGGCTATGTGTGAAAATAGATATAATTCCTACACTGTTTACCTGCATTAGATGTAAATACCCTCAAATTAAAGTTGAAAGTATATAATTTAATTTCAATATCCTGTGGTAGACAACTAAAATAAAAATAACATTGTCAATGTCCAAATATTTATGGAACTGACTAAATTTTGTTTACAGTAAAAAGATTTGAAAGAAGACAACCTTTCACTCACATTAATAAGTGAATATCCACCGTCATCATCAGTCACACCTGTGATTAATGGCACTTTGTTGAATTGCTTATTCTTAAGAAGTTCATACACAGATTTAGGAAGAAATCGTCCATCCTTTGGCACTTTGACAGAGAACAGTCCCTCCTAAAAAAGAAAAAATACTTCAGAACACTTAATAAGCAACAACAAGACATGATCCCCAACCATATACGTGTAATAAGAAAATCTTTAGCTATCCATTTATTTCATTTCACAGTACTTATTAAAAACTCACAGTTTCAGCAACCCTCTGAAGGTCCTCCTCTGACAACTGCATAACACAATCAACCATCTTCTTTGTGTTGGAGATGTCACAGCCAGAAACTTCAGCCAAATGCTGAGGAGAGAAACACTGAGATCTTTAGTTGACAATTTATTGGCTGCTAAACGCTAGAAAAGTATCACTTGAAGTTTTACATTCAGAACATAATGAGTGGACAGTAAAAGGACAGACACTTTTTACCTGAGCTATTGGTAAAGGATTGTCAGTCATGATTGCATCCATTGCTGCAGTGCCACTCTCTGCTATGGCAGAGCGGAACAGACCAGCAGACAGTGGTGACAGAATCTGTTCAAAGAAAGAAAGAGAAATTATCTAAACACTAAAACAAAATCAATTATGTCATTTTTGTATCTAACTTGATCAATTATTTAGAAAATCATCAGAGCACATTTAGGTCAGAAATGCATCACACAGACTCTACATGCATACCTGTAAAGACACACTAACTCCTCCAGCAGACTCCCCAAAGATGGTGACTGCTCCAGGATCACCTCCAAAGCTGTGGATGTTCTCCTGGACCCACTGAAGTGCTGCCACCTGGTCCAGGAGACCATAGTTTCCTGGGGCATGTTCATCTCCTGTGCTAAAGGGAGAAAGACACATAAAATAAACAGAATCAAGTACGACCCAAAATACTTTCCATGTACTCTTTAAATGAAATTCATAAAATTTAAAGTTGACTTCTTGTAATTGCTGAAAAAACTGTTTTTTTACACTGAAACAACTCAAATCAAACCATACCAGATTTTCACAAAAATGAAATTATTTATTAAACTACATAGAAACATGTAATATACTATAACTACATGATACTAGAATTCCCAGACATCATCGGGGATATTTGTTTACTCATGTTACCTGAAAAATCCAAGTAACCCAAGCCTGTACTGGATTACCACGACAACAACACTCTGATAGGCTGCCAGCACACTTCCATCTTGCATAGAAGCTGAGCCTAAGGCTAATGCTCCACCATGGATCCAAACCATGACCTGTGGAACACCAGCAATAAAAATTACCCAATGGCTCCTTCACACACATTTCACAGTGAATCATCATTATGTACATACAAATGAGCATTTCAGCTCAAGCAAATCTATGGCATGCAGAAGAAGTCTCCCACTAAAAAAAGGAATAATAAAATTACTGTTTTCTATTGAAGATGAAAGTATGTTATTCCCTTTACTTTACATGAAGTGCCATCCAGAATGAGTGGCACACTAAATATGAACTATGGCATATGCCCATCTCTTCTGTTGAAGAGACTCCCTAAGTATGTTGGCGTTCTCCACCCGGGTTTCAGCATCAATGTAGCACGCCCTGTGCTACCCTGGGGCTCAAGGAGGACGCTGGAAGCAGGGTTCAGGGTCACAGCCACCACTGAAGTTTATATGTCACTCCAAATACAAACAAAACACAAAGAACTCATAACACAACCTACGCTGGCCACTAGACTTTTCAGTTCTTTTCTTATTTGAGCCTTTCAGCTCTTCAGTCTTCTCTTCTGCTGCTGCTCGTGTCTCTCTCTCTCTCTCTCTCTCTCTCTCTCTCTCTCTCTCTCTCTCTCTCTCTCTCTCTCTCTCAACAAGGCCCTCACACCACATCAGTATCAGCTGGCTCTCATTAAGAGCAGCGTGAGCGCCTGTGCCGAAATGCAACGTGAGCTCGTTGCTCCGCCTCCCCATCACCTCCTCCGCTCAGCAGGTTGGCCACCCAGGTTGAACGTAAGGCACATTTAAGTGTCCTTACTGCAGAACTGGAGGCAGTGCCCAGGAGGTGGGGTTTGGGACTCAAGCGCTGTTCCCCACTCACTGTTCTCCTCTCCCCGCCATCCTTGCCGGGGTTCGTCCCTTGCCGGCTCTTGCGGCTGTCATCGGGGCCCGGGGGACGGGCGCATGCCATATGAACAAAAAGTGCTGTTTATAATGTGTAAAAGAAAGAGAAAAAGAATCCTCAAAAAGAGGTGTGCCTTACCAGTGTCAGCACTACATTAAGTGCATTAGAATATGACCAAAGTTTCATCCCATAGTGTGAGGTATTTTCAGAAGTGTTCTGAGAAATCTTTTGGACTACGATGCGATGTATTTGAAAAGCTGATTTCCTGGACATGGACTAAGCCTAGTCTTGGACTAAAGTGCAGTGCCAATAGTGACTCTCAATTAGAAATTCATTAAAATACATGGATTAGGCTTAATTTGGGTCAACTGAGAGATTTTTTTAACCCCTTAAAATCCCAGGCTTATTACATTCTAAGGCTTATTATTCAGTAACTACAGGGATATCAATGCAAACTGGCTGAGCTATTCTTAGGTTATAGAAGTGTGTAATAAAACTTTGAGCCTGCTGGCAGGCCCTGGCCATTGAAAGGGTTAACACTAAAATCTCTATTATCAGACAAGCCATTAGTACTATATTCACCAATGAGCATGTGTCTTCTCCAACACCACACAAAGATATCATGAAAAAAATTCCCAGTTTAGTAGTATCAATGATTAACTTTTTACCCTTTGGCTAGGGCCCACCGGTGGGCCCAAAGTTTCATTACAAACTTCTATAACCTAAGAATAGCTCAGCCAGCTTGCACTGAAGTGCTTGTAGTTTTTCAGCCTCCACGAAACATGCTATATAAATAAACTTGCCTTGCCTTGCAAGTAAAACAGCCTTGAAACATCAAACATCCACCACCATACTTCACCATGGAGAAGTTTTCTTTATAACCGTTAATTGTCTTACATCTACAAATTGTGTTTGTGGCCAAAAACCTTCATTTGTTCTCATCTGACCACTGAACTTGATTCCCATGACATTGTTCAATGGGTGTATGGAGGTAGTTTCTTAAGTCTAGTTTCAGAGGCCAGATGATCCCAGCATTCAACCAACAAATAAAAAAACAACTGTGACCCTGGAGATCTTAAATCTTCACTTTGTATGAGAATGAGCATAATGCACATCCTGTCTAAGCAGGCTCATTACATCACTTCTTAATTTAAATTCTTAATTAATGTTGTAGTAATGGAGGTGGGTATTTTCTGACAGTTATTTTGACAGCAATATTTACAGCCATTTGAGAGCAAAAACTGGTAAATCATCCAGGAGCACACAATTAGTATTCCAAAGAGAACTTCTAAAGATCACCTAAGTATCTTTTCAATTCTATCCTACAAAACAGAGCCCAGAAAATCTACACCATGCAGAAATGTGCACAATCTCAGAGGGAACGCTAAGAGATGCAAACCATCCATGTCTCAATATTTGATGTAGACGCTGCTGATGGTCACAGCAGAATATATTTTGAGATATCTCATAAAATATTGTCTGCTAAAGCACAATGTAATGTCCTAAAATCCACAGTCATCAAAGAAACAGGCCAAAAAAACACAGCAAAAGAAAATCAAATAAAATTATCTACTGACCATGTGAATCACCTGACTAAATTCATACAATGGCATTCATTTTATATGGTGAAGGCCAGAGTGAGCGTTAAAAGCTGAACAAGCAAGTAGAGCTACACACAGGACACCCAGTACTCAGCATCCGCTGTTGAATGCCAATGGATGTCAGAGTCTGCCATTTTAATCAAAGGATACACACTGGAGTATTAAACATTGCATCTTTCTGAAAGTATATAAATACAAAACTGCAGCACTTTGACAATTTGGATGTCCGATGATGTACAGAAGGGCACAATAAAAAGTGACTGCCTAAACGTTTCAGCTGATATGGCACAAACACTTTGAAATCATGTTATTGTTTCACAGTGAAACCAAAATGATTAAGTGAAGAACCAAATCTACAAATGATGTCATTTACCAAGACACTGTGATATCAAGAAGACCATAAGTATCACTATCACTATACAGTAAAATGCAACTAAAATAAGCCTATTTATTACAGGTACTTAACTTACAGGTAATTTGGCATCTTCGCCAGGTTTAGAGGGTGTGTAAATGTTGAGGTAGAGGCAGTCCTCAGACATCTCAGGGACTTCAAAGTTCTTAAAGAAGTGTTGAAAAACAACCTCAAGTATCACCCTGTGTTGAATGCATCTGAAATAAATGGCATCAGACAGAGAAACTGTTTAAGGTGTAAACGAAATTGGCCCTCTACACTATTATGAGATCAGTTTTGTAATTTATTTTATTGTGGTATTTGCTGGCATTGGGATGAACTAATTCAGAAACATTTGCACATGCTAATAGGAATTGTGTAAATATTTAAAGTCAGTGTGATTTGTCTGTGTCTTCTTACACGCGGGGCTGCTGTGTGGCGTCTCTCACTCCTTCCCATGCCTCTACAGGTTGGGGTGGGGCGAGTCTCAAAGGGCCCACTGGTGGCTTTGCAAACGGCACTCCCAGGTAGCTGTGTACGACTGTGTCTGTCCCTTCAGCCGTCAAATACTCACCTTTTAGAGCTCCTAATTTAGTCTGCACAACAGGCCCTGTTAAATGAGCATGACAGCATTCATCAATACACAATACCACAGAAACTGAAAAGTGCATTAATTACAATTCGGGTTAGCAGGAATAATCAGAATGAAAATGTACGAGCTACAGTTACTGCACAGCAGGTCCTACCAGACATGACTCAATGATTAAACACATTTGATAATTTGACAAGACAATTTGTCGCTGCTTGGTTCATAAATAGGGAATATATTATATTATAAACAACCCGATATTCTATGGGAGCAGATAAAAAGACTGAAAGATTATATTTTCCTCACAATAAAATAGCTGATGTTTAATAAAGCTTCTCTCAGGGTCAAACGATATAGCACATTATGCTATGAACTTGTAAATGCAGAATAAAGTAAATGCAATTAAGTACTGCCTATGGCTGACGTGGCTATTTACTGTCATTTTCATGTTATTTACTAGGACTGTCACAAGTATTACACAACAGAAGTTGACATCAGTGATTTATAAACCTAATTTGACCTTTATTTGAAAAAAAAACAGTGAAACGACAAGATATTTAATGTTTTACCTTATCAAACTTGTTTTTTATTTTTGTAAACATACACTCATTCTAAAACTGATGCTTGTAACATGGTGAAGTAAAAAACGAGGACGAAAACCACAACAGAATGCTTGTGACCTTCAACCCTTCAGATGGCACGGCATTAAAAATCGGCATGCTTTTGTGATGGATCTCATCACATGGGCTCAGGGATACTTTTGTCACTGTTGTCAGTAAACACCGTCCATCACTGCATCCACAAATGCAAGTTAAGACTGTACTATGCACAGCAGAAGTCATATGTCAACAGTGTCCAGAAATGCTGCTGCCTTTTCACAAAGCTCATCTGAAAAGGACTGATTCATAGTGCAAATGTGTACTGCAGTCTGACTTTCAGATTATTTGCAGAAAAAATGGACGATGTGTTTTCTGGGCCAAAAAACAAAAAGGACTTCTATAACAGGAGAATGGCAAAAAAATCCACTTTCAAAGCTGCATCATTTGGTGTTTTTATTTCCCAAATAATTATTAAGTACAATAAAAAGGAAATGTGGTATAACACAGTGGTAAAAATGCTCCTGTCTCAATAGTTACTTACAAAGAACAACAGAAGACAATTAAATTGGTAATTGCAATTATTTACATGTCGATTAATCATCAGCTAAAATTTCCTGACAGGTCAAGTTGCAACAGTGAGAACTAGGACTGGGCATCGTTCAAAATCCTTTAATACCAGTGCATTTACTGAGACTCTGATACCGATTCCTGAATGCCAACTTCTTTTTAATTACAATGGGAAAGCTGATGCACGCTGCATCAGAAATTAGTGCGAGGTGCTGGAAGTGGGTGTATTTATGGACCATGAGACACTATAGATTAATTAAGAAGCTCTGGCGTTAATGACATGCATATGGAACGTAGTTTAGACAGCCAATCAGTGATCTATATTATGCACTATATTAGCGTGCTTAGATGCTGATAAGAATGATTATTTTTCAATACTGCAGTAATTCTGACAGTATCATAAAAGCACTGAATTTCTATTAAAAATCAGACCAGCAACATTGTAGCCTTTGTCAGTGGAGTAACTGTACCTTTTTCCCAACTTCATTTGCTAATATTTACAGTGTCTGAGCTCAAACAGTGAGGTCTGGCTGTGTCTTCAGACTTAGCATGTCAAGTGTCACTAACAGTATTATAAAAGCAGAGCTAGCTTAATGACAATGCAAACAATGCCTTTTAAAACTAATGTAAATCCTTCTGCAGTAAACCCAGGCCTATATATTTATCTGATAAAGTACTGCACCCAACAAAACAATGAGTTTATATTTCAGTGACATTAAACTCAAAAAACAAAACATTGCCTGCGTCTCCAGCACAAACAGTAAACACCACACAAGACTCACCCCCCGTTTTCTCTCGTATCAAGCGTGGAAGAGTCTCGCTCATGAACGTGTAGTGCTTTCCCTTCAGATTCTTGTCAGCTTTCTGCTCCAGCCCAATGCCCAGATACTCCGCTTCAGTTCCGTACTCAGGCCATGGTGTCAGGCCGGGCCCGTTTGGAGATCTGCTCTCAGAAACACACAGGGAAAACTGTGTAAACTACAACAGGGTTTGCAAAAAAATGCAAAAAAAATATATGCTTTTGCAAGAGATACACCTTGTGACATTCACTGAAAGCCTAAATTACTGCCCAATATGAAGGGTCCACTAAGAGACTGAACACTTCTGATCTAGTTCTGATGAATCCCATAATTCTTAAATCACAGAAACAGCATCCTGAGTGAACTGCTATCTACCTACAACTAACTCGCTTAGATCCAGTTCAATTTGTTTCAAATATCATATCAAGCCCAAAAGATAACAGAATTATTTTCCTTCAATGACCTGCTTTATCATCTCATTAAGAGAAAGATGGAGTGTTATTAATCTTCTTTGGAGATCTCTGAACGTAAATAGATTCTTCTCATTTACAACCTGACAGATAGTTTCCCAAACAAAATCTCTCAAGACTTCAAGAAAGCCCTCAGGCCCATAGCAAACAAACAAAACAAATACATACATACAAAAAATAAACAAACAAACAAAAAATGTTTTCAAGTGTAAGTAATACACAATTATTGCAAAAATGTGCAGGTTTTGGTGTCAATCCTGCTAGAAAAACCATCAAAGACATGCAAAGCTAGTCAGCATATGCTGTGTTTTGGATGGTGGAAGCATAATCGAGCTAAGACCAGCATGGAATGCATGCTGGTATATATCTTGTTTTTTCAGTAGGGATTATAAGCATGGAAGTGAGTCAAACTGAAATCCTCTTTAATTAGTGTGTTTTTATACACTTCAGCCTCACAGATTTAACATGATGATACTGGGCACGTCAATGAATGTCACACCAGTCCAGAGATCGAGACTGGTCAAGACTAATTACTCACCCAGTGCGAGCAAAGTTCCCCCAATAGTGCATCACAGTTCTACATAGTTCATTCTCTTTCTCTGTGAACTGACCTGAGAGAAAGAGAGAACGAGATAGTGAGTGAGAGTAAGAGAGAAAGAGAGAAAGAGAAAAAGAGAGAGAGAGAGAGAGAGAGAGAGAGAGAGAGAGAGAGAGAGAGGGAGAGAAACATCTGCACTGTTACAACTGAGATACAGGCAAGTTATAATAATGGGATAGTAATTATGAGAACGTAAGTCACAATTATGATATATTGTCATTTTTATGACATAGTAAGTCATTACTATTAGATGCTAAGTCACAATTATGAGATACTAAGTCATCATTATGAGATATTAAATCATAATTATTAGAAATTAAGTCATAATTATGAGATAGAATGTCATTATTATGACATAGCAAGTCATTCTTATGAGATGCTGGCATAATCATGAGATACCATGTCATAATTATGGGAAAGCTTCTCATTATTACGACTTCCCACGGGGAAGAAAAAAATGCCCAAAAAAATGTATTAAAAGCTTAAATTCATGGATGACCATATTCTTAGCCTTTTAGGTGATATCAGTGCTGATAAGGGGCTAGAAAAATCAACAGCATAAAAATTCAGCAGCAAGTAGAATAAATCTGAAAACAATTTATTCAAAAACAGCTGAGACAAATAAGTAGGTTTTCATGTTCGATGAATAAAAGAGGATGCCTCTTCAGAGTGAAAACTACAGATAACCAGTACAGCACTTGGTGCTAATGAGGTCTTGACATCTTCTGCACAAGATCTTTTTTCCCTCAGAGGATGATGTTCCAACAAGTTAGTTTGTCAGACAAATAGTTCCACTGATTCTGAAACTAGCTAAGCTAACATCAGCCATAGTAGCTCATTTAACTAGCCATGCTATCACTGACCTCTCAGTCACGTCCTTAACGTGTCCTTGGCAATGTGTCTATGTTCAATCATTCATGTGTTGGAGTGGCAAAATATAATATAACATGCAAACTTATTCACAGACACAAGCTTTTCTGTAACATTTAAAACTCACATTAAAGCATAAAAGTAGCAATTCACTTAATTACTAGTCTGTAGTTTTCTCTGTCTCCCAGTGATGAAACAGAATGACTACCCAAATGGAATTAAGTATTCGAATAATGGCGCCTTGAACGGTTAACCGTTACTCGGGTACCCGGGCACATCCTTAACATTTATAATAACGTTACTGTGTTCATGCAAAAAAGATCACAGCTATTTTCATCTTACCAGAAATCTTAATGTGGGCGTTGGCAAAGCAGCTACCAAAAACAAAATTAATTTCATCACCATGGTCACTCCCAACAAAGCTGGGCCTCCTCTTCTTGATCTCACTGTAAGTATGCTGGAACTCATACAGGTAAACTGGTGCTCCAGAATCTAATCATTAAAAAAAATATACATAATATTGTCAAAAATCAGATATACATAATATTGTCAAAAATCAGATATGATTTCTAAAATCAGTACCAGATAAAATAAATGGATGTTCACCTCTGTGGTATTTTGCCAGTTTGCGTGCAGGAATGTTAAACATCAAGTCCCCGTACATCTCTCTTAAACCATCTCGGATTTCGATTGGATCGTCCGTGGAGCCCAGGTACTCATTCAGCACTACTTCATGTACCCATTTCTCACTTTGCTGAAGGAAATACAAAGAACAGAAACATTAAGACGTGTGTAGAATACATATATACATATTCAGTCTCAATATAGCTTAGAATTTCAGCATGAGATCTGGGAGCATAAAAGACATTATCACAGCCGGGTCTTCACTTACACCAGAAAAAAAGAATGGCATTATTGACATGACTTGCTCTCTGCTGATTCCGTCAGTCCATCCCGGATGAAGAAGGAACTGTGGGAAAATTAAAACATTTTGTTTTGGCAGCAATTCTATCAAATAATGTACTCTGACTCAGTAGCCACATTATTCTCAAAACCATTAGAATTTACAGAAAACACACAGAGTCATAAATATTTGCATATAGAAAAAGTTTCTATTTTTTTGCTGTCTACCACAGTATATTGGAGTTTACATTAAATAATGAATATGCTCAGTGCAGACTTTCAGCTTTAGTTTGAACGTATTTACATCCAAATCCATTTTTAGGGGCTCAAATGGAATTGGACAAACTAACATAATTATACATTAAATAGTCACATTAAATACTTGGTTGCAAATCCTCCTAATTCTTGAACCCATAGACATCACGAGACAGTGTTTTTTCCCTAGTGCCGCTCTGTTAGGCCGTTACTACAGCTGTCTTCAGTTTCTGCTTGTTCCTGAGGTGCTTTACCTTCTGTTTTGCTTTCTGTAAGTCAAATGCATCCTTGATTGGATCGAGGTCAAGTGACTGAAATGGCCATTGCAGAACATTTCACTTCTTTGCCTTAAAATAGGTCTGAGGTTGATTTCGCAATATATTTCAGGTCATTGTCCATCTTCACTTTGAAGCACCGCCCAACAAGTTTTGAGGCATTTGGCTGAATCTGAGCAGATAATATATGCTCACTCTTGGCACAACCCCCACCATGCTTTGGATCATAAGCAGTTCCTTCTCTTCTCTGTCCTCTTCTTCTGGTACAAGTTGATCTTTGTCTCAACTGTCCCTAAGATGTTATTTCAGAACTGTACAGGCTTTTTCAGATGCTTTTTGGAAGCTCTGGTCTTCCTGTTTTTGAGGCTTGACAATGGTTTACATGTGGTGGTAAGTCCTCTGTATTTAGGCCCAATCCCATTTCTCCCCACAAGTACCTTGTGAGTATTTTCTCTGTTAAAAAATTACAATAACCATTGCAGTTTAATGTTGTTTTGATGTATTATTGTCTTTTTCTTTATAACAAGCATGAAAAAATTGATAGAAGTATCGGTAGCTAGCTAGCTAAATTTCCCATTTCACCCATTTAAGGAATGAGAAAATTCAAACAAGAAGCTGGCGCATAGCTGACTTCAGCTTCTTATCACAGAAGAATTAGGGGTGGCCAGTAATAAATAATTGCTGCATTCCTGCCCTCTGAAGGCATATGATTCCCTAAATTTAACTAAAGACCAGCAGCAAGGTTGCTGAACTGTACCACTCCTCTGCTATCAACTGGCAGGGTCGCCAACAGAGCACCGCTATTAGCCTGTTAATGAAGTAATGTTCGTTTCATTTGAGGGTTGTCCCATTTCTTAGGGGAAGATTTCAATCACTACCCCTTTTAACTAAGTTCCAAAGTTCAAGGTGACACTCGAAAACAAGGGGTAGGGGTAAAAATAAAAATTGGGATTGGGCCTTAGTCTGGTGATTGTTGACTTCAACACAGATACATCTACCTCTTGGAGAGCATTCTTGATCTGGTCAACTGTTGTGAAGGAGTTTTTCTTCACCAGAGAAAAAACTTGTTAAACACCTAATGGTTGTGCAGTCTCTCTGATGGACTTATTGTGATTGTTCAGCCTAATGATGTCTTGCTTCACCGGCAGTGACAGCTCTTCGGACTTCATATTGGAAGTTAACAGCATCAGATTCAAAATGCAAATACAACACTTAAAATGAACTCCATATTTATTATCTCTTTACTTGTAAGTGAAATAATAAGAGTATAACACACGGCCATGGAACAGCTAAGCAGCCAACTGTCCAGTTTTTTTTGAGTCCCTAAAAATGGGGGAGGCTGTGTGTGAAAATAGTTATAATTCCTTCACCGTTCACCTGCATTAGATATAAATAGCCTCAAATTAGAGGGTATTTAGATACAATAAAAATAACTGTCAATGTCCAAATATTTATGGACCTGACTGAATTTTTGTGCACTGTCCCATGCTTTTGCTCACAGTACAAAGATTTGAAAGAAGGCAACCTTTCACTCACATTAATAAGTGAATATCCACCGTCATCATCAGTCACACCTGTGATTAATGGCACTTTGTTGAACTGCTTATACTTAAGAAGTTCATACACAGATTTAGGAAGAAATCGTCCATCCTTTGGCACTTTGACAGAGATCAGTTCCTCCTAAAAAAGAAAAAAATACTTCAGAACACTTAATAAGCAACAACAAGACATGATCCCCAACCATATACGTGTAATAAGAAAATCTTTAGCTATCCATTTATTTCATTTCACAGTACTTATTAAAAACTCACAGTTTCAGCAACCCTGTGAAGGTCCTCCTCTGACAACTGCATAACACAATCAACCATCTTCTTTGTGCTGGAGATGTCACAGCCAGAAACTTCAGCCAAATGCTGAGGAGAGAAACATTGAGATTTTCAGGTGACATTTTTTTAGCTTTTAGTGGAACATCTATTACAATGATCATGCTAGAAAAGTATCACTTGAAGCCAGGCCCGGATCATCAAGTTATCGGCACCTGGGCACAAATAATATGTGGGCCCCTAACTGGCTACCTTTTTTTGTGTGGTCAGTAAATTTTTTTTATGATATCACAGCTGGTTACACAAAGCCTAAACAGCACCACTATGGCAGCACACTACCCGCAGTGCTGGGAACGTCACCGCCATAAGTATGGTGACATAACAATAGCAAGATTACACACACATTAACGACAGCACAGGTTAACATAAACCCAACAACCAATGCAATACTCCCTATAAAGCATGCGTCTATTCTTCACTAGCACATTTACCCCAGCGAAGACAACATATATTAAAACTGAACAGTTGAAATATACTTTTTTTATCCCTTCATGACAGTTTGGAGATCACTGCTGAAGAGGATGCTGCAACTTTTTTCTTTAACCTGGGTGGCTGACATTTCATATTTGGATTTGGAAATGAACATTCTCAAGTCATATCAAGAATCAAGCAACGTTTTTATAGATCCCTCAGGAACAACTTTTGAATATCTGGACCTTCAAATTCTAAGTAAATTAAAAGAAACATTAAGTATCTGCTAAAAAAAAATAAATAAAAGCTTGACCTAGATAATGGCAGTGGAACAGTTGCTAAGCAGTGATTGGAGGAGAAAATGAAGCAGACTTTGAGGAAAGACGTGAGCACGTCAGGATCATGATTGCCTCTAAGTAACACAGTGACAAATTATGTCATTTTCTCACTATGCTGCTAGTTCATTTGAAGAAAGCTATTTAGATTTTCTCATGATTGCTCACGGTGGTTCCCTATTGGCTCAGGCCCATAAACCCACTACATGATCCAGGCCTGCTTGAAGTATTTCATTCAGAACATAATAAGTGGACAGTAAAGGACAGACACTTTTACCTGAGCTATTGGTAAAGGATTGTCAGTCATTAATGCACCCATTGTTGCAGTGCCACTCTCTGCTATGGCAGAGCGGAACAGACCAGCAGACAGTGGTGACAGAATCTGTTCAAACAAAGAAAGAGAAATTATCCAAACACTAAAACAAAATCAATTATGTCATTTTTGGATGTAATAAACGTTTGTATGTAATAAATAATTATTAACTATTTAGAAAATCTAATGGCACATTTACACTTCTTTGTGTTCTAATGTTGGAACTGAGAGAGAGGTCAAAAATGCATCACACAGATTTTACATGCATACCTGTAAAGACACGCTAATGCCTCCAGCAGACTCTCCAAAGATGGTGACTGCTCCAGGATCGCCTCCAAAGCTGTGGATGTTCTCCTGGACCCACTGAAGTGCTGCCACCTGGTCCAGGAGACCATAGTTTCCTGGGGCATGTTCGTCTCCTGTGCTAAAGGGAGAAAGACACATAAAATAAACAGAATCAAGTACGACCCAAAATACTTTCCATGTACTCTTTAAATGAAATTCATAAAATTTAAAGTTGACTCTTGTAATTGCTGAAAATACCCTATAAAGACACACTGAAACAAATAAAACCACACCAGATTCTCATAAAAATTATATTATTTATTAAGATACTTAAGCAATAGAACACGAGAGGGAGTGTGTTATTGCGATAATACACAACCTTGAGTGTTCTACTGCTTTAAAACAACAGTTAAATAAAGTAAAAAAATTATTAATTGGGCTGTGAACATGGCATTTAATATGTTTAATGTTAGCAATTCCTTGCACCAAATTATAGTTCCTTAACAAGCAGCTTGTTGCTACGTCAGAGTAACGAACTCCGCTCACTTGCTACACAGCCAGCAGCTCGTTCTCCAGCTCCCTACAAAGACCAACTGACAGTTTGGGAATTTAGTGTAGTCTCCTCTTCAGAATCTGACAAATTCTGACAAAATCAGCTGCAGGTCAAATGTAATCTTAAAGGTTTCCATTTTCTGTTTGTGCGCAGAGTAAGAAGTAAAAACGTTCAAATGGCTTGAGTGTCTCCTACAGCTGTCAAAGTCGTTACTTAGCAACAGCATCTCAGCGGAGTGATACAGTGAAAAATGGTTAGAATGCTTCTCAAGCAATCAGCTTGCATGGCCAGAACTAACTGCTGTATAAATGAAAATATGTAACATACTGTATTTAGACAATACTAGCATTCCCAGACATCATCGGGGACATTTGTGTACTCATGTTACCTGAAAAATCCAAGTAACCCAAGCCTGTACTGGATTACTACGACAACAACATTCTGATAGGCTGCCAGCACACTTCCATCTTGCATGGAAGCTGAGCCTACGGTAAATCCTCCACCATGGATCCAAAACATGACCTGTAGGACACCAGCAATAAAAATTACCCAATGGCTCCTTCACACACATTTCACAGTGAATCATCATTATGTACATACAAATGAGCATTTCAGCTCAAGTAAATCTATGGCATGCAGAAGAAGTCTCCCACTAAAAAAATAAAAATAAAATCACTGCTCTCTATTGATGATGAAAGTATGTTATTCCCATTCCCTTTACATGAAGTGACTTCCAGAATGACTGACATGATGAATATGAACAAAAGGTGCTGCTTATGATGTGTAAAAGAAACAGAAACAACACTAAAAGCACTAAATTTAGTCCTTCAGACCATGACCAAACTTTCATTTCATAGTGTCCACAGTTCTGAAATGCTCTCAAGGCCTTGCAAACAAATCAGCCTTGAAACATCAAACATCCACCACTATATTTAACCAAGGAAAGGTTTTCTTCATGACCATTGATTTTCTTACCTTCTCATTGTGTCTCATTGACCAAAAACCTTCATTTTTCTCATCTGACCGCTGAACTTGATTCCCATGACATTTGCCAAAGTGCTTTCATCAGAGTAACTGCTTGATGGGTGTATGGAGGTAGTCTAGTTTTAGAGGCATGATGACCCCAACACCCAACCAACAAATAAAAATCCACCAACTGTGACCCTGGAGATCTTAAATCTTTGCATAACGCACACCCTGTCTAAACAGGCTCATCACATCACTTCTTAATTTAGCTTCTTAATTAATGTTGTAGTAATGGAGGTGGGTATTTTCTGACAGTTCTTTCAAAAGTATTTTTTACAGCCATTTGAGAGAATAAACTGGTAAACCACCCAGAAGTACACAATCTGTATTTCAAAGAGAACTTCTAAAGATCACCAAAGCATCTTTTCAATTCTGTCTAACAAATTAAAGTACAGAAAATCACCACCATGCAGAAATGTGCACAAGAGTAGATGAGGATAAGAAAAATATCTCCACACCACTTTTTCTGTGCAACAATGTAAACTATGATATTTGGTAATATTCTTTTTAGATCTATGTCATTTTGGACCATTTCTGTTTGTACATTTGTCATGAAATTTTGACACAGTGTAAAGAGCAGCCGGTAGTTTCAATTCATGTCAAAGAGCAAAATATGCCCAAAACAGAGATATAAGTTTCCATCAGTGACGATTTGGATGTCCAATGATGTACAGAAGGGCAAAATAAAAAGTTACAGCCTAAATGTTTCAGCTGATGTGGCACAAATAGTTTGAAATCATGTTACTGTTTCACGTTGAAACCAAAATGATTAAGTGAAGAACCAAAATTACAAATTATGCAATTCACCAAGACACTGTGATATCAAGATGACCATAAGTATTACTGTTAATTCACGGCTTTAACACAGACTGTAAGTTGAATTGTTAATTTCTACACTATGGTAAAATGCAATTAAAATGAGCCTAAAAACTTACGGGTAATTTGGCATCTTCGCCAGGTTCAGAGGGAGTGTAAATGTTGAGGTAGAGGCAGTCCTCAGACATCTCAGGGACTTCAAAGTTCATAAGAACGTGTTGTAGAGCACCTACAAGCAGTGCCCTGTGTTGAATGCATCTGAAATAAATGGCATCAGACAGATAAGATTTAAACAAAATTGGCCCTCTACACTATTATGAGATCAGTTTTGTAATTTATTTTATTGTGGTTATTGATGGCATTGGGATGAAGCCCTGAACTAATTCAGAATCATCTGCACATGCTAATAGGAATTCTGGGTTAATGCAAAACTGCATGTTGACTAAATCTGCAACACTACAAATGTCAATCTGTACAATATGTGTTACTGTACATACTGTCCATGTAGTCAGTCAGTGTGATTTGTCTGTGTCTTCTTACACGCGTGGCTGCTGTGTGGCGTCTCTCACTCCTTCCCACGCTTCTGCAGGTTGGGGTGGGGCGAGTCTCAAAGGACCCACCGGTGGCTTTGCAAAGGGCACTCCCAGGTAGCTGTGTACGACTGTGTCCGTCCCTTTAGCCGTCAAATACTCACCTTTTAGAGCTCCTAATTTGGTCTGCACAACAGGCCCTGTCAGACAAGCATCACAGCATTAATCAATACACAATACCACAGAAACTGAAAAGTGCATTGATTATAACTTCAATCAGAATGGAAATGGACGAGCTACAGTTACTACAACAGGTCCTACCAGACATGACTCAATGACTAAACACATTTGATAAAGACAATCTAACAGGAGAATGGCAAAAAAATTCCACTTTCAAAACTGGATCCAATGTGAGATCAAATGTTTCCCAAATGAATATTAAGTGCTATAAAAAAGGAAATATGGCATAACACAGTGATAAAAATGGAATATATTGCAGACATATGAAATTAACGTAGAAAAGACAATTAAAGTGGTAATTGCATTTATTTACATGCAGTTAATCAGCAGCTAAAATGTCATGACAGGTCAAATTGCAACAGTGAGACCTAGGGCAGGGCGTCCTTCAAAATCCTTTAATACCAGTGCATTTACTGAGACTTGACTTTGACACCGATTCCTGAACGCCAACTTCTTTTTAATTACAATGGTAAAGCTGATGCGCCCTGCATCAGAAATTAGTGCGAGGTGCTGGAAGTGGGTGTATTTATGGACCATGAGACACTATAGACTAACGCTCTGGCGTTAATGACATGCATATGGAACGTAATTTAGACAGCCAATCAGTAATCTATATTATACACAGTATTAGCATGCTTATTGGCTCACAGAGGCTGATAAGACTGGCAATTTTTTCAACACTCTGAGGTTTTGTAGTAATTGACGGTATCACTAAAAGCCTGAATTTCGATTTTCACCCCTATTAAAAATCAGACCAGCAACATTGTAGCCTTTGTCAGTGGAGTAACTGTACCTTTTTCCCAACTTCATTTGCTAATATTTACAGTGTCTGAGCTCAAACAGTGAGGTCTGGCTGTGTCTTCAGACTTAGCATGTCAAGTGTCACTAACAGTATTATAAAAGCAGAGCTAGCTTAATGACAATGCAAACAATGCCTTTTAAAACTAATGTAAATCCTTCTGCAGTAAACCCAGGCCTATATATTTATCTGATAAAGTACTGCACCCAACAAAACAATGAGTTTATATTTCAGTGACATCAAAACTCAAAAAAACTTTACCTTGTGTCTCCAGCACAAACAGTAAACACCACACAAGACTTACCCCCCGTTTTCTCTCGTATCAAGCGTGGAAGAGTCTCGCTCATGAACGTGTAGTGCTTTCCCTTCAGATTCTTGTCAGCTTTCTGCTCCAGCCCAATGCCCAGATACTCCGCTTCAGTTCCGTACTCAGGCCATGGTGTCAGGCCGGGCCCGTTTGGAGATCTGCTCTCAGAAACACACAGGGAAAACTGTGTAAACTACAACAGGGTTTGCAAAAAAATGCAAAAAAAATATATGCTTTTGCAAGAGATACACCTTGTGACATTCACTGAAAGCCTAAATTACTGCCCAATATGAAGGGTCCACTAAGAGACTGAACACTTCTGATCTAGTTCTGATGAATCCCATAATTCTTAAATCACAGAAACAGCATCCTGAGTGAACTGCTATCTACCTACAACTAACTCGCTTAGATCCAGTTCAATTTGTTTCAAATATCATATCAAGCCCAAAAGATAACAGAATTATTTTCCTTCAATGACCTGCTTTATCATCTCATTAAGAGAAAGATGGAGTGTTATTAATCTTCTTTGGAGATCTCTGAACGTAAATAGATTCTTCTCATTTACAACCTGACAGATAGTTTCCCAAACAAAATCTCTCAAGACTTCAAGAAAGCCCTCAGGCCCATAGCAAACAAACAAAACAAATACATACATACAAAAAATAAACAAACAAACAAAAAATGTTTTCAAGTGTAAGTAATACACAATTATTGCAAAAATGTGCAGGTTTTGGTGTCAATCCTGCTAGAAAAACCATCAAAGACATGCAAAGCTAGTCAGCATATGCTGTGTTTTGGATGGTGGAAGCATAATCGAGCTAAGACCAGCATGGAATGCATGCTGGTATATATCTTGTTTTTTTCAGTAGGGATTATAAGCATGGAAGTGAGTCAAACTGAAATCCTCTTTAATTAGTGTGTTTTTATACACTTCAGCCTCACAGATTTAACATGATGATACTGGGCACTTCAATGAATGTCACACCAGTCCAGAGATCGAGACTGGTCAAGACTAATTACTCACCCAGTGCGAGCAAAGTTCCCCCAATAGTGCATCACAGTTCTACATAGTTCATTCTCTTTCTCTGTGAACTGACCTGAGAGAAAGAGAGAACGAGATAGTGAGTGAGAGTAAGAGAGAAAGAGAGAAAGAGAAAAAGAGAGAAAGAGAGAGAGAGAGAGAGAGAGAGAGAGAGGCAAAACATCTGCACTGTTCTAACTAATAAAGTCACTTTGAACTGAAATGAGCAGAACACCTATACATACTGAGATTCAGGGCAATATAGTTTAATATATTTATTAGGGCTGTGCATTCCAACTAATTTTGATATTCGAGTATCCACAAGAGGTTGAGAACAGATATCTATGAAAGCCCATTTCCACATACACTGCCTGGCCAAAAAAAAAGTCACCACCTGGATTTAACTAAGCAAATAGAGCCTCCCATTGGATAATTACTGCATGGGTGATTATGTTTCAGCTGGTGACACGTTATTTAATCCTAACTGATGCAGTGAGTAGCTTTCCATTTGTTATACAACCATGTCGAAAGACACATCCTGTGGTCGTGGAAAAGATGTTAATCTGTTTCAGAAGAGTCAAATTATTGGCATGCATCAAGCAGAGAAAACATCTAAGGAGATAGAAACTACTAAAATCGGGTTAAGAACTGTCCAACGCATTATTAAAAAGTGGAAGGACAGTGGAGAAACATCATCTTTGAGGAAGGAATGTGGTCGGAAAAAAATCTTGAATGATCGTGATTGGCGATTACTTAAATGTTTGGTGAAATCAAATCGTACACAAACAACAGTAGAACTCAGGGATATGTTTAATAGTGAAAGTAAGAGCACTCCCACACGCACAATGCAAAGAGAACACAAGGGATTGGGACTAAACAGCTGTGTAGCCTCAAGAAAACCACTTATCAATGAGGCTAACCAGCAAAAACGGCTTCAATTTGCTAGGGAGCATAAAGATTGGACTCTGGAGCAATGGAAGAAGGTCATGTGGTCTGATGAGTCCAGATTTACCCTGTTGCAGAGCGATGGGCGCATCAGGATAAGAAGAGAGGAGGCTGAAGTGATGTACCCATCATGCCTAGTGCCTACCGTACAAGCCTGTGGGGGCAGTGCTATGATCTGGGGTTGCTGCAGTTGGTCAGGTCTAGGTTCAGCAACGTTATGTGCCCAAAGAATGAGGTCAACTGACTATCTGAATATACTGAACGACCAGGTTATTCCATCAATGGATTTTTTCTTCCCTGACGGCACGGGCATATTCCAAGATGACAGTGCCAGGATTCATCGGGCTCAAATTGTGAAAGAGTGGTTCAGGGAGCATGAGACATAATTTTCACACATGGATTGGCCACCACAGAGTCCAGACCTGAACCCCATTGAGAAGCTTTGGTATGTGCTGGAGAAGACTTTGCGCAGTGGTCCAAATCTCCCATCATCAATACAAGATCTTGGGGAAAAATTAGTGCAACTCTGGACAGAAATAAATGTTCTGACATTGCAGAAGCTTGTGGAAACGATGCCACAGCGGACGCATGCCGTAATCAAAGCTAAAGGCGGTCCAAAAAAATATTAGAGTGTGTGACCTTTTTTTTGGCCAGGCAGTGTAGCATGTCATGATACTGACTCAGTGTTTCATAATCATGCTCATCACACATAATTATGAGATATTTAGTCATAATTATAAGAAACTAAGTCATTATAATGGGATAGTAAGTCATAATTATGAGATGTTCGGTCATTTTTATGATGTAGTAAGTCATTATTATGAGATACTAAGCCACAATTATGAGATACCAAATTCATGTATGACCAGAGGCTTAGCCTTTTAGGTGATATAACTGGTGTTAAGAGGCTAAAAAATCAACAGCATAAAAATTTAGCAGCAAGCAGAAGAATAAATCAGAAAATAATTTAATTAAAAAAGCTGAGGCAAATCAGTTCAAACCTGGACGCCAATGAGGTCTTGACATCTTCTACACAAGATCTTTTTTCCTCAGAGGATGATGTTCCAACAAGTTAGTTTGTCGGACAAATAGTTCCACTGATTCTGAAACTAGCTAAACTAACATCAGCCATAGTAACTACTTTAGTTAGCAACACTACCACTGACTTCTCAGTCACGTCCTTAACGTGTCCTTGGCAATGTGTCTATGTTCAATCATTCATGTGTTGGAGTGGCAAAATGTAATATAACATGCAAACTTATTCATAGATACAAACTTTTCTGTTACATTCAATACTTATGTTAAAGCATAAAAGTAGCAATTCACTGAATTGCTAGTCTGTAGTTTTCTCTGTCTCCCAGCGATGAAACAGAATAAATACCCCAATAGTGATTTAAGTATTCCAATAACGGCGCCTTAACGGCACTTAACCGTTACTCGGGTACCCGGGCACATCCTTAACATTTATAATAACGTTACTGTGTTCATGCAAAAAAAAGGTCACAGCTATTTTCATCTTACCAGAAATCTTAATGTGGGCGTTGGCAAAGCAGCTACCAAAAACAAAATGAAGTTCATCAGCATGGTCACTCCCAACAAAGCTGGGCCTCCTCTTCTTGATCTCACTGTAAGTATGCTGGAATTCATACAGGTAAACTGGTGCTCCAGAATCTAATCATAAAAAAAAAAAATTATGTTGTCAAAAATCAGATATAATTTACAATCAGTACCAGAAAAAATAGATGGATGTTCACCTTTGTGGTATTTTGCCAGTTTGCGTGCAGGAATGTTAAACATCAAGTCCCCGTACATCTCTCTTAAACCATCTCGGATTTCGATTGGATCGTCCGTGGAGCCCAGGTACTCATTCAGCACTACTTCATGTACCTCACTGGGCTGAAGGAAATACAAAGAACAGAAACATTAAGACGTGTGTAGAATACATACATACATATTCAGTCTCAATATAGCTTAGAATTTCAGCATGAGATCTGGGAGCATAAAAGACATTATCACAGCCGGGTCTTCACTTACACCAGAAAAAAAGAATGGCATTATTGACATGACTTGCTCTCTGCTGATTCCGTCAGTCCATCCCGGACGAAGAAGGAACTGTGGGAAAATTAAAACATTTTGTTTTGGCAGCAATTCTATCAAATAATGTACTCTGACTCAGTAGCCACATTATTCTCAAAACCATTAGAATTTACAGAAAACACACAGAGTCATAAATATTTGCATATAGAAAAAGTTTCTATTTTTTGCTGTCTACCACAGTATATTGGAGTTTAAATTAAATAATGAATATGCTCAGTGCAGACTTTCAGCTTTAGTTTGAACGTATTTACATCCAAATCCGGTAAAAGGGGTAGAATATACAGCCATTTTCACACACAGCCCCCCATTCTTAGGGGCTCAAATGGAATTGGACAAACTAACATAATTATACATTAAATAGTCACATTAAATACTTGGTTGCAAATCCTCCCAAGTCTTGAACCCATAGACATCACGAGACAGTGTTTTTCCCTGGTGCTGCTCTGTTAGGCCGTTACTGCAGCTGTCTTCAGTTTCTGCTTGTTCCTGAGGTGCTTTACCTTCTGTTTTGCTTTCTGTAAGTCAAATGCATCCTTGATTGGATCGAGGTCAGGTGACTGAAATGGCCATTGCAGAACATTTCGCTTCTTTGCCTTAAAAAAAGTTTGAGGTTGATTTCGCAATATAAGTCTTCTGTATTTACGCCCAGTCCCATTTTCTCCCCTCGCCCCTACCACTTAGCCCTTACCCCTCCATTTGCGTGTTCATGTCTAGGGTTAGGGTGTCCCAATTTTTGTTGAGATAGAGTGGTAAGGTGAAGTTTTAGGGCTACATGGCCCTCCAGACTGAGGTTTTTCAGAGGCACACTCCAAACAGAGTGTTAAATAAAGAAAAAACTGTAAGATGGCTGCACAAGCAACCAAAGACACCCACAAATGTAAGTATTTTCTCTGTTAAAAATTACGATAACCATTGTATTATCTTTAGTTTATTGTTGTTTCCTTTTCTTTATAACAAGCATTAAAAAATCACTAATATTATCAGTAAAGAGCTAGCTAAATTACGGTAAATGGGTGGAACAGGAAAATTCGAACAAGAAGCTAGCAAATAGCTGACTTCAACTTCATATCACTGAAGAATTAGAAGTGGCCAGTAATAAATAATTGCTGCATTCCTGCCCTCTGAAGGCATATGATTCCCTAAATTTAACTAAAGACCAGCAGCAAGGTTGCTGAACTGTACCACTCCTCTGCTATCAACTGGCAGGGTCGCCAACAGAGCACCGCTATTAGCCTGTTAATGAAGTAATGTTCGTTTCATTTGAGGGTTGTTCTTAGGGGAAGATTTCAATCACCACCCCTTTTAACTAAGTTCCAAAGTTCAAGGTGACACTCGAAAACAAGGGGTAGGGGTAAAAATAAAAATTGGGATTGGGCCTTACTCTGGTGATTGTTGACTTCAACACAGATACATCTACCTCTTGGAGAGCGTTCTTGATCTGGTCAACTGTTGTGAAGGAGTTTTTCTTCACCAGAGAAAAAACTTGTTAAACACCTAATGGTTGTGCAGTCTCTCTGATGGACTTATTGTGATTGTTCAGCCTAATGATGTCTTGCTTCACCGGCAGTGACAGCTCTTCGGACTTCATATTGGAAGTTAACAGCATCAGATTCAAAATGCAAATACAACACTTAAAATGAACTCCATATTTATTATCTCTTTACTTGTAAGTGAAATAATAAGAGTATAACACACGGCCATGGAACAGCTAAGCAGCCAACTGTCCAGTTTTTTTTGAGTCCCTAAAAATGGGGGAGGCTGTGTGTGAAAATAGTTATAATTCCTTCACCGTTCACCTGCATTAGATATAAATAGCCTCAAATTAGAGGGTATTTAGATACAATAAAAATAACTGTCAATGTCCAAATATTTATGGACCTGACTGAATTTTTGTGCACTGTCCCATGCTTTTGCTCACAGTACAGTAGTAAGATTTGAAAGAAGGCAACCTTTCACTCACATTAATAAGTAAATATCCACCGTCATCATCAGTCACACCTGTTATTAATGGCACTTTGTTGAACTGCTTATACTTAAGAAGTTCATACACAGATTTAGGAAGAAATCGTCCATCCTTTGGCACTTTGACAGAGATCAGTTCCTCCTAAAAAAGAAAAAAACACTTCAGAACACTTAATAAGCAACAACAAGACATGATCCCCAACCATATACGTGTAATAAGAAAATCTTTAGCTATCCATTTATTTCATTTCACAGTACTTATTAAAAACTCACAGTTTCAGCAACCCTGTGAAGGTCCTCCTCTGACAACTGCATAACACAATCAACCATCTTCTTTGTGCTGGAGATGTCACAGCCAGAAACTTCAGCCAAATGCTGAGGAGAGAAACATTGAGATTTTCAGGTGACATTTTTTTAGCTTTTAGTGGAACATCTATTACAATGATCATGCTAGAAAAGTATCACTTGAAGCCAGGCCCGGATCATCAAGTTATCGGCACCTGGGCACAAATATTATGTGGGCCCCTAACTGGCTACCTTTTTTTGTGTGGTCAGTAAATTTTTTTTATGATATCACAGCTGGTTACACAAAGCCTAAACAGCACCACTATGGCAGCACACTACCCGCAGTGCTGGGAACGTCACCGCCATAAGTATGGTGACATAACAATAGCAAGATTACACACACATTAACGACAGCACAGGTTAACATAAACCCAACAACCAATGCAATACTCCCTATAAAGCATGCGTCTATTCTTCACTAGCACATTTACCCCAGCGAAGACAACATATATTAAAACTGAACAGTTGAAATATACTTTTTTTATCCCTTCATGACAGTTTGGAGATCACTGCTGATGAGGATGCTGCAACTTTTAACTTGGGTGGCTGACATTTCATATTTGACTGGACCTTCAAATTCTGAGTATGTTAAAAAAAACATTTTAGTTTCTGCTAAAAAAAAAGCTTGACCTAGGTAATAGTAGTGGAACACATCTCTAACACAATGACAAATTATGTCATTTTCTCACTATGCCACTAATTAAGTTGAAGACACCTATTTAGATTTTCTCATGATAGCTCGCGGTGGCTCCCTATTGGCTCAGGCCCCTGAGCACACGCCCATAAACCCACTACATGATCCGGGCCTGCTTGAAGTATTTCATTCAGAACATAATGAGTGGACAGTAGAGGACAGACACTTTTTACCTGAGCTATTGGTAAAGGATTGTCAGTCATGATTGCATCCATTGCTGCAGTGCCACTCTCTGCTATGGCAGAGCGGAACAGACCAGCAGACAGTGGTGACAGAATCTGTTCAAAGAAAGAAAGAGAAATTATCTAAACACTAAAGCAAAATCAATTATGTCATTTTTGGATGTAACTTTTGTATGTAATAAATAATTATTAACTATTTAAAAAATCTAACGGCACATTTACATTATTTTGTGCTCTAACGTTGGAACTGAGAGAGAGGTCAAAAATGCATCACAGATTTTACATGCATACCTGTAAAGACACACTAACTCCTCCAGCAGACTCCCCAAAGATGGTGACTGCTCCAGGATCGCCTCCAAAGCTGTGGATGTTCTCCTGGACCCACTGAAGTGCTGCCACCTGGTCCAGGAGACCATAGTTTCCTGGGGCATGTACGTCTCCTGTGCTAAAGGGAGAAAGACACATAAAATAAACAGAATCAAGTACGACCCAAAATACTTTCCATGTGCTCTTTAAATGAAATTCATAAAATTTAAAGTTGACTTCTTGTAATTGCTTTGTTTTTTACACTGAAACAACTCAAATCAAACCATACCAGATTTTCACAAAAATGAAATTATTCATTAACATACATGAAAACATGTAACGTACCATAACTAAATAATAGAGGAATTCCCAGACATCATCGAGTATATTTATATACTCATGTTACCTGAAAAATCCAAGTAACCCAAGCCTGTACTGGATTACTACGACAACAACATTCTGATAGGCTGCCAGCACACTTCCATCTTGCATGGAAGCTGAGCCTAAGGCTAATGCTCCACCATGGATCCAAACCATGACCTGTGGAACACCAGCAATAAAAATTACCCAATGGCTCCTTCACACACATTTCACAGTGAATCATCATTATGCACATACAAATGAGCATTTCAGCACCAGCAAATCTATGGCATGCAGAAGAAGTCTCCCACTAAAAAAAGGAAAAATAAAATCACTGCTCTCTATTGATGATGAAAGTATGTTATTCCCCTCCACTTCACATGAAGTGCCCTCCAGGACTGAAAATCAATAAAAAGTGCTGTTTACATTGTGTAAAACAAAGAGAAAAACACAAAAAAATCATGAAAAGGTGTGCCTTATCATTGCCAGCACTAAAAGCAAAAGCAAAACAGCCTTGAAACAACATCCACCACCATACTTTACCATGGAGAAGTTTTCTTCATGACCATTGATTTTCTTACCTACTCATTGTGTTTAAAAAATCATTTGTTCTCATCTGACCGCTGAACTTGATTCCCATGACATTTACCAAAGCGCTTACATCAGAGTAACTGCTTGATGGGTGTATGGAGGTAGTTGCTAAAGTCTAGTTTTAGAGGCATGATGACCCCAATATTCAACCAACATATAAAAATCCACCAACTGTGACCCTGGAGATCTTAAATCTTTGCATAACGCACACCCTGTCTAAACAGGCTCATCACATCACTTCTTAATTTAACTTCTTAATTAATGCTGTAGTAATGGAGGTGGGTATTTTCTGACAGTTCTCTCAACAGCCATTTTTACAGGCATTTGAGAGAAAAAAACTAGTAAATCATTCAGAAGGACACAATCTGTATTCCAAAGAGAACTTCTAAAGATCACCAAAGTATCAATTCTGTCTAACAAAACAAAGTACAGAAAATCACCACCATGCAGAAATGTGCACAATCTCAGAGGGAACATTATGATATGTAAACCATCCATGTCTCAAGATCAGGTCTACTCAGTACCTAGAGGAGCTTGATTAGTTGAAGCACAAGAATAGATGAGGATAAGAGGATCTCCACACCACTTTTTTCTGTGCAACAATGTAAACTATGATATTTGGTGATATTCTTTTGAGATCTATGTCATTTTGGACCATTTCTGTTTGTACATTGGTCATGAAATTTTGATACAGTGTAAAGAGCAGCTGGTAGTTTCAATTAATGGCAAAGAATGAAATATGACCAAAACAGAGATGTAACGTTTCATCAGCAACTTTGATGTCCAATGATGTACAGAACGGCACAATTAAAAGTGACTGGCTAAATATTTCAGCTGATATGGCACAAATAGTTTGAAATCATGTTACTGTTTCACATTGAATGCAACATGATTAAGTGAAGAACCAAAACTACAAATGGTGTCATTTACCAAGACACTGTGATATCAAGATGACCATAAGTATCACTGTTAAATCAAGTTGAATTGTTAATTTGTACACTATGATAAAAAGCAATTAAAATGAAAAAAAAAACTTACAGGTAATTTGGCATCTTTGCCAGGTTCAGAGGGAGTGTAAATGTTGAGGTAGAGGCAGTCCTCAGACATCTCAGGGACTTCAAAGTTCATAAGAAAATGTTGTGCAAAACCTACAAGCAGTGCCCTGTGTTGAATGCATCTGAAATAAATGGCATCAGACAGAAAAGATTTAAACAAAATTGGCCCTCTACACTATTATGAGATCAGTTTTGTAATTTATTTTATTGTGGTTATTGATGGCATTGGGATGAAGCCCTGAACTAATTCAGAATCATCTGCACATGCTAATAGGTATTCTCGGTTAATGCAAAACTGCATGTTGACTAAATCTGAAACATCAAATGTCAATCTGTACAATATGTGTTACTGTACATACTGCGTATGTAAATATTTAAAGTCAGTGTGATTTATCCGTGTCTTCTTACACGCGTGGCTGCTGTGTGGCGTCTCTCACTCCTTCCCACGCTTCTGCAGGTTGGGGTGGAGCGAGTCTCAAAGGGCCCACTGGTGGCTTTGCAAAGGGCACTCCCAGGTAGCTGTGTACGACTGTGTCCGTCCCTTCAGCCGTCACATACTCACCTTTTAGAGCTCCTAATTTAGTCTGCACAACAGGCCCTGTTAGACGAGCATGACAGCATTAATCAATACACAATACCACAGAAACTGAAGAGTGCATTTATTACGATTCGGATTAGCAGGAATAATCAGAATGAAAATGTACGAGCTACAGTTACTGCACAGCAGGTCCTACCAGACATGACTCAATGACTAAACACATTTGATAAAGACAATTTGTTGCTGCTTGGTTCATAAATAGAGAATATATTCAACAACCCTACACTCTATGGCAGCAGATAAAAAGACTCTGCAAGATTATATTTTCCTCACAATCAAACCGCTGATGTTTAATAAAGCTTCTCTCAAGGTCAAACGATATAGCACATTATGCTATGAACTTGTAAATGCAGAATAAAGTAAATGCAATAAAGTGTTGCCTATGGCTGACGTGGCTATTTACTGTTCAAGAATACAAACTAGAACAAGCACAGTAGAGATTACTATTATTACATGCTAGAAGTTGGGACTTGTTGGGATTTGCAAAATGCTAATTAAAACAGACTTCAACGATTTATAAATCTACTTCAACCTTTATTTGAAAAAAAAAACAGTGGAAAGACAAGATATACGTTGTTTTACCTAATCAACCTCATTGTTTTTTGGTAATCGTACACTCATTCTAAAACTGCAACAGGTCCCAAAAAAGTTGGTACAAGAGTACTTTAAGACTAGGAATGTTGTCAAAATGAGCATCCCAGAAAGGCCTAGTCTTTTACGATTGAGGATGGGTCAAGGCTTGCCACTTTGCCAAAAATACATTAGCAAAAATCCAACAGTTAAAAAATAATTTTTCTCAGCTAGCAACTACAAGGATTTTAAGTATTTCACCCTCTAATGTGCAGCCATAATCAAACGAATTCTTTAATCTTAGTGCAGAAACGCCAAGGCCGAAAACCACAACTGAATGCTTGTGACCTTCACCCCCTCAGACAACACTTAAAAATCGACATGCTTTTGTGATTGATCTTTCCACACGGGCTCAAGAACACCATCCATCACTGCATCCACAAATGCAAGTTAAGACTGTACTATATGCAGCGGAAGTCATTTGTCAACAGCATCCAGAAACACCAATGACTTATGTGGACTGACACACAGTGCAAATGTGTACTGAGGTCTGACTTTACAGCTTATTTATGGAAACAACAGGGAACACCGTGTTTTGTGGGTCAAAGAATAAAATGACTTCTATAAAAAAATTCCTCTTTCAAAATTGGATCAGTTTTTGTCTTCATTCCCCAAACGACTACTGAATATTGTTAAAAGGACAGGTGCTATAACACTGATGAAGTACTGTACTTAACAACAGAATAAGTTTATATTTCAATGACATTCTGGGACATCAAAAAAAAAAAAACATTGCCCTGAATCTCCAGAACAAATAGTAAACACCACACAAGACTCACCCTTCTTCTTCTCTCGTATCAAGCGTGGAAGCGTCTCGGTCATGAACGTGTAGTGCGTTCCCTTTAGATTCTTGCCAGCTTTCTGCTCCAGCCCAATGCCTAGATACTCCGCTTCAGTTCCGTACTCAGGCCATGGTGTCAGGCCGGGCCCGTTTGGAGATCTGTGTAAACCATAACAGGGTTCATAGGACAAGATGATGTGTAACATACTTATGTAAAAAAGTATGCTTTTGCAAGAGATACACCTTGTGACATTCACTGAAAGCCTAAATTACTGCCCAATATAAAGGGTTCCCTAAGTCACTGAACACTTCTTATCTGGTTCTGATGATCCCCATGATTCTTAAACAACAAAATGAGCATGGAAGCGAGTCGAACTGAAGTCTCCTCTCAGTGGTGTTTTTATATGCTTCAGTCTCACAGATTCAACATGATAATATTGAGCACTTCAATGAATGTCACACCAGTCTGGAGATTGTGACTGGTCAAGGGCAATTACTCACCCAGTGCGAGCAAAGTTCCCCCAATAGTGCATCATAGTTCTACATAGTTCATTCTCTTTTTCTGTAAACTGACCTGAGAGAAAGAAAGAGAGAGAGACAGACAGAGAGAGAGAGAGAGAGAGAGAGAGAGAGAGAGAGAGAGAGAGATTGTTATGCATTGTTATTACTAATAAAATTACTTTGGACTGAACTGAATAGAATCCATTTAACTAACCTATACATACTGAGATTCAGGGCAATATGGTTTAATATATTTATTAGGCATGCCAATAACAATATTCCAACTAATTTTGATATTCAAGTAACCAGAAAAGTTGGACAACGGATACCTATGGAGGCCCATTTCCATCACCTGAAAAAAAGGCTACATAATATGTCATGATAATAACTTAGAGTCTTAATAATTAGACTTAATATCTCATAATAATGACTTAATATCTCATAATGAGAGGATGATTATGAGATACGTAGTCATAATTATGAGAACGTAAGTCATAATTATGAGATGTTAAGTCACATTTATGACAGATAAGATGCTAAGTCATAATTATGAGATACTAAGTCATAATTCAGATACTAAGTTGTAACTGTGAGATAGTAAGTCGTAATTATGATATAGTAAGCCATAATTCTGACATACGTAATCATAATTATGAGACAGGATCTCATTATTATGAGATAGCAGGTCAAAATTATGAGATAGAATCTCATTGTGAGATAGTATGTCATAATTATGGGAAAGCTTCTCATTATTATGACTTACTTAATGGCTTTATATTAAATAGAAATTTTCTTCCACGGCGAAGGAAAAATAAAAAATTTACTGTGGCGTCAGTGTAGAAGAAGAAGGTGCAAAAAACACAGTGCTTCAAACCAAGCGCACACCACCCCCTCCTGTTTGTGTAACATTTAACAGTCACGTTGAAACATGCAAAAAGCTATACAGACTTGCAAAACCTTCACTGATTTGTAAGTCTGTATAGCTTTCTAGTGATCAAAATGGAACAAATACCCCAAAAGTCATTTCAGTATTCAAATAATCGTGTCTTAAACGGTTAACTGTGTCCCCGTGCATATTCCTAATATTTATAATAACGTTACTGTATTCATGTAAAAAAAAAGGTCACCACTATTTTCATCTTACCAGAAATCTTAATGTGGGCGTTGGCAAAGCAGCTACCAAAAACAAAATGAAGTTCATCAGCATGGTCACTCCCAACAAAGCTGGGCCTCCTCTTCTTGATCTCACTGTAAGTATGCTGGAATTCATACAAGAAAACTGGTGCTCCGGAACCTAATCATAAAAAAAGGTATTTGCATAAAAATGAACAAACCCCAACAAGAGCAGATATGTTTTAGCCTCAGTACCAGAAAAAATAAATGGATGTTCACCTTTGTGGTATTTTGCCAGTTTGCGTGCAGGAATGTTAAACATCAAGTCCCCATACATCTCTCTTACTCCATCTCGGATTTTGATCGGATCGTCCGTGGAGCCCAGGTACTCATTCAGCACTACTTCATGAACCCATTTCTCACTGGGCTGAAGGAAATACAAAAGCAGAAACATTAAAGACATGCACTACAATATATACATATTCAACCTCAGCACAGCTTGCGTGTCAAACACCAGTCCTAGTGGGCCAAAGCACTGCAGACTTTAGCACTCAGCATTTCATTTACTACACCTGATTCAACTCATAAGCTAATTAGCAAGACCTTCATGAGTTGAATTCAGATGGAAAATGCTATTCTAGCAGAGCTGTGGCCCAGAAGGAACCCAGTTTGACATTCCTGATATAGCTCAATATATAGTTTTCACATGCTGGAACTTGTTTTGCACATCCGAGTCTTCACTTACATCAGGAAAAAAGTAAGGCAAAGCTGACGCAACTTGCTCTCTGTTCATTCCGTCAATCCACCCTGGTGAAGCAAGGAACTGTGGGAAAATGTTTTTGTTGTTGTCAGTGACTTTGAATTTGTGCATTTTCTTCACAAAAAGTGTTTTCAAATTTGTTTGTTCAAAGTCCTATGTTTTTGTTCCCAGTACAATTATTTGAAACCTTTCACTTACATCCATTAATGTATAGCCACTCTCATCATCATTTACACCTACAATGAAGGGCACTTTTTTGAACTCCTTATTCTGAAGAAGTTCATGCACAGATTTGGGAAGAAACTCTCCATCCTTCGTCACTAGGAAGGAGACTGCCATCTAAAACCAACAAAAAAAGGAAAAACTCAATGTTCACTCAATACCTTATGTTTTTACAGAAAACTTTTAAAGTATATTTACAGTACTTAACACACCCTTTGGGTAGTCTTCAGAATGTCCTCCGCTGACAACTGCATAACACAATCAACCATCTTCTTTGTGCTGGAGATATCACAGCCAGAAGCATTAGCCACTTGCTGGGGAGAGAAACATTTAAGAGAAACAAATATTTAATTAAATGAATATTAGAGAAAAACATCACCTGAGGTTTTACAGTCAGAACATAATGAGTGGACAGTATAGGACAGATCCTCTTTTACCTGAGCCATTGGTAAAGGATTGTCAGTCATTAATGCACCCATTGCTGCAGTGCCACTCTCTGCTATGGCAAAATGGAAGAGACCAGCAGACATTGGTGACAGAATCTGTTCAAAGAAAGGTAGAGAAATCAAAAGAAAACTGAGAAGCACTGTGCTATTTTTCTTTTACAACCTGATGAAATTCGCAGATATATCTGAAATGCACAAATTTTACATCTCTACCTGTAAAGACACACTAACTCCTCCAGCAGACTCCCCAAAGATGGTGACTGCTCCAGGATCGCCTCCAAAGCTGTGGATGTTCTCCTGGACCCAGTGAAGTGCGGCCACCTGGTCCAGGAGACCATAGTTTCCTGGAGCATGTTCATCTCCTGTGCTAAAGGGAGAGAGATCTATCAAATAATACTATAATTCACTGTCACTTTCAGCACACTGCTGCCAGTGTTTCATTGCAATGCAGCTGCAGAATATCCTAGGGTAAGTCTTTGTTCTCACATTATTTTGTTACCTGAAATATCCAAATAAGCCAAGCCTGTACTGGATGATCACTACAACCACATTCTGATAGGCCGCCAACACACTTCCGTCTTGCAATGAGGCTCCACCTAAGATAAATCCTCCTCCATGGATCCAAACCATGACCTGTAGGATAAAAGGAATATGAAGCACAAAGCAAATATATAACATATGCTCAGAATGGAGAAGAAATTGTCTCGCAAACAGGGTTATATATAATTCATACAATTTGCTATATACTAGTTATTTTAGTATTCAAGTGATCCACTGATTATTTGGACAATTAACTGAGTAATCAAAATTGAAAAAGGGCCAAACAATAAAAATGAACAATGACAAACTATACAGAACCTTTCAAAGATTCCAAAATACTGTACTGGAAAAATGTATCGTTATTGTCCAAAACATGTATCTCGATTTTTTTTTTCAATTTTCAGTTTTCTGCATCATTTGAGCATGGCAAAGTTCATGATGAAAAGTTCATGATAAATGGACCAATAAAATTACTCCAAAATTGCTTACACTAAAATCTCCTCTCCTGTAAAGTTACCATTTTGGAGATGTTTTACTGTGCTCAGCGACAATATATTTGGAAGCTTTTGCAAATACTAATTTTTGCTGGCAAAACTTTTCACACTAGGTACTACTTAATACTAATACTACTTAATCATGACAGTTCTATCTTAAACATTGACATTTTAAGATTTTGTAGGTTGCACTTTTGCAGTGAATTCTTCAATAAATATTCCAACTAAAATTATGACTTAGAATATCAATGGAGGAGCTTGTTAGCTTTCTGCTGAGCTCATCAGACCCACATTCCTTCAAAACCATGTTTTTGCATAGGGCACGTGAAGAACGGTATGTTTACTAAGGCTTTAGGCCTTTTCCCTCATATACATGAGCATATGTGCTTTAATGAGATCCCATTTTGAATGATTTTCAGGATACCTTGATATTCATTCAAATTGCCAACTATTCACTGTGGAATCATTGGAAAGGAACAATTAGGTCAACAAAATTTTAAAGAGACTTATCGAATGACATCAAGAAAACCCTAAGCTTTTGTTATCAGTGTGGAGCTAGCGCTCACTTCCCAAACTGAGATTAATATTTACTCATAGCAGTTCTAGCTTAAACACTGGCATTTTAAAGTTGTAGCAGATATTCAAACAACATATCCTATAAATAGCATATCACAGTTTTAGTGAATCCTTTAGTAAATATTTCAAATTAAAGCCTAGCCTTTGTAATGGCACATGTTCCAATCAATAATGAAACCTAATGGATCCATATGTATCATGCACAACAATAACAACAAATTAACAAACTAGCAGCACAAACCTCCATTGCTTCATTGATCATTAGCTCTGAACAGCTCTCAGTTCATGATTAGAGAAAAAAAGTTGAAAAACTGCCAGAAGCTTTAGTGCTTTTGCAGCCATTACTGGCAGAAACTGCAGGTTGGCTGCTGCTGCCACACCTGCAACAACAGATGATGACAACAATATGTGTCACATTAAGGCAAAAAAATTAATTTGTGCCACTTCAAACTCGGTGTGAACTGGTCTGGATTTTCTCCCCTTTCAAGGGTGCACACAAAAACAACTTGAGTCCTAATTGCTCCCCTTGTGGAGAATCTTCAGGCTGCAAAACGCACCTTTTAAATGACCCTCAGATACCCAGATAATCCTTCAAATTTCCAACTAATAATTGCCAATTCATTGAGAAAGTCTATTTCAAATGATGATCGAGTACTCGATCAAGTGCAATCTAATTATAAATCAATCTGAAACTGTGGTTTTAAATTAAGTCATTTAATATAATGGAGTGCAGAAACATGATAAAAAAAAACATGAACTGCAATAGTAAGATATTAAGTACCAGTGTCATTTTGAATTGTGAGCTTAATTAACTACTTCATGTAAAGTCTGCTTAAATGGAACCCAAAAGACTTACAGGTAGTTTGGTATTTTCACCAGGTGTAGAGGGTGTGTAAATGTTGAGGTAGAGGCAGTCCTCTGACACTTCTGGAACTTCCATGGTCGCAAATGTTTTTTCTAAGAGATTCATAATGCCTCTCCTGTTTTGTATACAGCTGGAAGAAATGGCAACAGATAACATTTTAAGATGTGTAATTCTTCTAAAGCCTTTTTCACCAGTGTTTCTTAATTATGTTTTTGGGGACACACAGCAAGGCTCCTGATCCAGCTCATCAACTGATCATTAAGCCCTTCATAAGCTGGATCTACGTTACACTTTATAAGACCAGTTTTATCATTTGCTGGCATTGAGATGAAGCCTTGACCTAATTGAGAAGTATGTGCATGTGCAAATAAAACTAGGCAAATATAAAACTGCATGTGGATTACAACCGCAACATCAAAAATGCTCATTTGTACAATACAGGTTCTTAACTGTAACTGTACTGCGTAAATATTTAAAGTCAGTGTGATTTGTCTGCGCCTCCTTACAAGTGTGGCTGCTGTGTGGCGTCTCTCACTCCTTCCCATGCTTCTGCAGGCTGAGGTGGGGCGAGCCTCAAAGGACCCAATGGTGGCTTTGCAAACGGCACTCCCAGGTAGCTGTGTACGACTGTGTCCTTCCCTTTAGCCGTCACATACTCACCTTTTAGAGCTCCTAATTTAGTCTGCACAACAGGCCCTGTTAGACAAAGTGTTATTCAATACAAAAGACCAGCTAAATCAGAAAGTGAAGTGTAAAGTTATGGCTACATACAGTAAAACAAATCCCCCTTTTAAGTCAAGCTTTTTTACTTTAGATTTATGTGATCGTACTTAGTTCCCTTAGGATCTATAATACTGTAAGACAGGACTTTCTACAGGCTTGCAGTAAATTCTAACAATTACTATAAAAAATATGTATAGCAGATTTCTATAAGACAGTACAGACCTTACTATACAGAGGTATAACAGAGGCATTGTAGAAGTACTGTACATTACCACAGAAATCTTATAGTTACTTACAGTATAATATATTTATATTTGTAATATAATATGTTGTATATATTATGTTATATAATATATTAATATAATATATTAATATTTGTAAGGTTTAAGGTTTGTGTATAAGGTGAGTTCAGTGTGTGTCCTCTTTAATTTAAAAGTAACACACCGCCTGCAGTTACACAACACAGCAGAAGGCCTGTTCAGCATGCAATTTCACAAAAAAAAGAAAGAAAGCAAGTAAGAAAAAAAAAGTTTCAACTGAAAATGCAATGGCACCAAAAAAGCACCCCCTCTTACCATCGTGTGCTGTCGCTGGGTTTAGCAGGGCAGCTCCAGTCACGGTCCACAGCAGTAAGGTTAATGTGCCCATTGCTCGTCCCTGGCTGAGCCCTCACTGTGCCGTTTCTGGGGGGGCAGCAGGTTTAACTGTGAGCCGTTGCTGTGACGTAAAGGGGCGGTGGAAGGGCAACGCGAACTTTGCCTCTGATATTTCACAAGACAGTATTAGATTAACTTTGATATGGGCTTATAAGGAGTTTTGTTGCCAGTCAATATGCAGTATGCGCTTTTATGCATCTGAGTCGGTCGCAGTGCGTGAACCTTCTTCCGTCAGGTGCTAACACTAGTTTAGCCGAGTCCACAGTCCGAGCCTCCATTAATATATATATATATATATATATATATATATATATATATATATATATATATACACTGTTTGTCTCTCTCTGGTCCCATACTGTCTTTGTACTATGTAATTTGTGATTTTGAGGACTAAAATTCATAAATAAAAAAAAGACATGTCACTGTGCATTTTTTTCTACAACGAACACGACCCACCCTAGAAACCCTACCTATCGCTAATAAGCCAGTGGATCTGCCTTAGAGGTCTGTTTGAGAAGGACCCCGAGTAATGAAAAGCACGATCACGCATCAGAACTGCTCTCTGCTCTGGTGCGCTATCCTGGTGCGGGTTGACCAGTTCAGCTGAAAAGGGCGGTTGAAGTTGCCGAGGCTGCAGTACCACTCCGGACCGGTAGGCGGCCCTACTGTCGCGCAGTGTGGGAAAACGTAGGGAGGAGAAGTCGCGGAAGGTTTTAAAAGGACAATGTTTATAAACACCTTGTAACTAACACTAAACTGACAGAAAATAAACATTACAAATCGGACTTTCTTTACCGTCACAAGGTTTTCGGTCGGAAACCTCAGACGAGCTTTTGCCTTTGTTTCTGCAGCTTTTGGACTTGGCTGAGCTTTTTACTGAGACCAGTCTCAGTCTCGGTGGACATGGATCCAAAAGTGAGGAACAGCGCGGAGACCAAGCAGGTGAAACTACACATCTTATTTGAGGGTCGATTTGTACTACAGCTTCTTTTAAAGGGGAATTCCACCGATTTTTCAAAATGTCTGTACTGAGATGTCACTGAGATGTAAACAAAGTCATTCAGAGTGGGCTGAAGTGAAATGATTAAATGCAGAGAAACTTGCTTTTCTGCCATTTTGTCACAGTGGTGGTGACAGAAACCTGGGGTCATGCTGTCTACAACGCAAACACAGCCATTTAATTATTATCCAAAACCACCAGTGAACCTACACGTGTATTCTAAGTTTTTGTATGTAATGTTGATGTTGGTAAAATAGTGGTCAATCTGAAAAAAAAAAAGGTTTTGTTTGGGGACCATTTTGTCTGTCCTACATGTACTTCTTCAATGGCATTTAAACGTTTAAGTTGAAAACAAAACTGGAGTAAAACAATGTCTCAGACATCAGGCAGCATAATTGTAATCATATAATGTAGTAACTTTCTGTGAGGTAGCTTTTAGAGCTATTGAAGTCTTCAGATGTCTGTTTTGTATCACCACCACTGTGAATAATTCTGACTCAGTTTCTCTAGAATGGATCAGTTCACATCACACCACTCTGAATGACTTTGTTTACAACCATGTAATAACGCACACATTTTGAAAAATCAGTGGAATTCCCCTTTACTTGTGCCCACCTGCTGGTGTATGAAAGTGCAGCAGCCTGTTGTGTCTTTATTTCTGCAGAGTGGCTCTGCATTAGTGACTGCGGTGTCCTGCCATGACATTTTTGACCTGAGTGCCCACCAAACAGATTACAACCCACTACCAAAAGGTGCAGCCTTCTCCTTCATCAGTGTAGGTATCTTGAAAATTAATAAGCGTGATATACCATACAGAAAAGTGGCATGTGGAATATAAGTGTCTGAAAAATGTATATTCATAAGTAAGCACGTGACAATGTGAATAGTGTGTGATCACACATGATATAAGGTGAATAATGTGATCACATTTGACAAAGTCAGTGTGACAATGTGAATAGTATGAGATCACACATGACAATGTGATCAGCACGTGACAGTTTACATTGTTTGTGACAATCTGACGGTACATTGTGAAATTCCATGTATGAAAAGTTTACATTAATGAATCATAATGAGAGAAAAATCACAAAACAGAAAATGATGTTCATCAGATGTAAAAAGTCCTAAAAGGTGTTGGAAAAAAAGTAAAAAAAAAAAAAACACTGGAAATTGTCAAGTGAAAATTTTCTGTAACATGTTGACTTCCTTTGTTTTCTTTTTCTAATTTAAACTCTTCTCTCCATTGAATAGGCTGTGCAAGCAGTCAATCAAAGACTTGTGAAGCATAATGAAAACGAGACGTTGCAGTTTGAGGTGATCCTGCTTGGAAAGGACTGTGAAGAGCAAATTAAATCAAAGATATTTGACAGTGCAAAACATTATGGTAGGTTAGATGACTAAGTTATATGACTGAAAACTGCTGTTAAGGTTTCCTCGGCTACCGAATTAAGATCCACCTTAACGTATATGATCCTTCTTTAACCAGGTTTAAAGATTGGCAAATTTTACTTTTGCTCCAGAGGGGAATTTGTAAGGACACTGCAAGCAAACAGTGTAAAGTTGTTTCTGTCAACAGACAGAGATGATGTTTATGGTGCCCTACAAGCAGGTACTTTGCCAAAAATACACCCAACATGTAGAAAATCTTTCCAGACGGCATCGCATTGTGTCTTAATAGGTTCCTTATTTTATTCAGAAACCAAATAAACATCAGTAAGAGAAATAAAATACTCAGTTATGCTTTGGGTACTTAATGAAACTTACTGTCACACTTTTATTTTCACTTAATTTTGGCATCTGTAGGTGTTCCTGCTGCTTTGTTGTGCCAGCAGGCAGACCAGCAGGTCCAGGATCAGCTGAAGGTGCTCTTCTCAGGAGATCTCATTGGCCTTTCAGAAGACTTCATAGACTGTCTTAAAGATTTTGGGTTCAGTGCTGTCCAGATACAGAACTTTAAAGCAGCAAAGGTATACAGCTAATCATGAAACATGCACTTTCTAAATGCAGGATTTATGAATTCAAATAGTATATTAGAGATTCTGACATCTGCAATATATTGTCTTTGGCTTAATTAGTCTAAACTGTCCCATTGTGTCATCCAGGGTTGCATTCGAGAATTTGCAGCACTGATTGGTGAGATGAGGAAAAGGTTTGGGTGTGAAGACAGCCCTCTCCATACCATCCTCATCACAGTGTTGGGATCCAGAGACGTCTGTGCCACGGCCCTAAAGACCCTCCGAGGCTGGGGCCTGGATGTGGATGAAGCCTTCTGCCTGGCTGGAGCCCCTCGCAACCCCATCCTAACCACAATACAACCCCACATACTGTGGGATGATGGACTGCATAATATGAAGGGTGTGTCACCTCTCATGGGGATGAGCAGTTAAGACACTCAGGTGATGGATTTGCCTTTTCATTCAACCTTCTGGTGCTTTTTTAGGTTTGGTGTTACAGTGTGAATATCTGGTGTGAAAACAACTCTTGGAATCATGAAATATTACCTGTGGCTGGGTTAATTTGATTTTAATGTTGAAATACAGTGCAATAAAACAATAGATTTATAAACAATATATATCGTTTACATGTGAATGGCTTTACCAAGTCTTCAAAGATGCTTTAAAGTGAAAAACTTAAAGAAACATTGTAAAATTGACAGTATATTCATTGAACTATACAAAAATGCAGTAAATAACACAAGATGACAATGGCTGTGTCTGAAATCGCTCCCTATCTGATTTACTGGTTCTATTTTTTTTTCTGCACCATCTTGTTGGGGAATTCATAGTGGAAAAATGTAGCTCAGAACATTTACAGCATATAATGAAGTTTAAAGTTTGAAATACAGTATATAATTAAGTTTAACTTGACATTTTCATTGACATTTTCTTTTCAGATATAAATATATAAAACTTTACATTTTAAAGGTCAGCTTTAGCAGCATACCAATGTTTTTGCAAAGTGCTAATAGCTGGTGTGCAACTGGTTGCGAAGTTACCGAGAAACAATGCTAGAGCCTAAAATCCTCCTACTGTTCCACACACAGTCGTATGTAAAAGTTTGAGCACCCCTGGTCAAATCACATTTCATTGATTGTTCTAAGTGATAAGAAGTTACACATGCTCTACAAAGAATACACTTCTGCTCATTTTAATGCACAGTTACTGTTTATTTGCTGAATTTAACATATTGTAAAAATAAATAAATAAATAAATAAAAATAATGATACAATGTGGTCTGTGTGCAAGTTATGGCGTATTTAAAATGTATATTTTATTTATTTTCCATCATGTTTTATGATGTTCCCCGTAGAGGATGTGTTCACTTATCTTCGCAAAAATCAATAAAACATGTAAATTGACTGGGGTGTTCAAACTTCTGCATATGACTGTACTTGTTCCCCCTCCTTCAGTGTTTAGAGCAGTAATTTGGATATAGGGAATAATCAATGAGTGGGCAATTTCAAACACAGCCAAAGAGAATTGATACAAAAGAATAGATACACTTCAGTTACTGTCTACCACCATATAATTCACACATGAAAACGCTCCCTATGAATCTGAGCATGTTAATGCTTCGTGAGAGCTTTAAGGCACTAGTTGCACTAGTTATATACAGCTACACAGCTGTATATAGATTGATTATCTGGCAGAACCCAATGTGTGAATTTTCTCTAGCGTAATATAATACTGCAGTTTGCTAATACTTCGTTCATTATCAATGCAAAGCTTATTTTTATGCATAAGCATGGCAGTCTTGCTGCATTAAATGCATATTAGTAAGGGTTAAAAGGGTAAACATAATGCAAATTTTGCACATTATATAGTCAGAGAGTTATTGCTATATAACTGCAACCAAGCAGTTAGATATGGCTACCAAAAATATATACATATTAGCAGGCATCTTTGGCTCAATGTTGCGGGAAAAAATAATGTTTTACTCAATGAAAGCAATACCAACTGTGGCAACATCCTAACCCCAGCATAAACACTTGATGCCACAAGAAAATTTAGAAACGTGCATGTGACACATGAACCATGTGTACAGATCTCTTTGTGGTTGAACTAACAATATAACAACTTTACAAAAATGTATTCACATTTCATCCCATATCTGTTATCCTTCTAAAACACTTGCAATGCCTATTTCCCCATAGTCGACGTAACTTCTTGCACATGAAAATAAGCATATTCAGCTTGTTTATGTGCCTGACAGAAAGGATCTGCAAACAATGTTGCAGACAGAGCAGACAGTTCTTGTGTTGAGGTATATTTACAGTTTACCACAGATAGAAAATATATCACCACAGTCTTAATATGTCTGTGTTGTTCGATCTGTTGCCCAGCACTAGTAACTACAAGCCTTAACCAACTATTCACTTCCAGTGAGTGCCTTTCAAAATACTGATGGTGCAAAGACAGTAAAACTGTTAAAACACTGTGCTCTGTTCTTAAAAAAAAAAAAAAAGTGGGAAGGTGTGACATGTGGACCTGTTCTGGAGTTCCTTTGGATTTGTGAAGGTGGTGCTCCTCAGACGTAGATGCCCTCGGGGTTCAGAGCGGAGGTGATAGGGCTGTGCAGCACACGCAGGTTAACTCCCACCATGTGAGACGGGCTTGGCCGCTTTAGAGAACCAGTCAGGGCTACAAAATCTGAATAGAAGTTACACTAGTCAATTTCAGTTGTAATTTCTGCTACGGAATCTCCACAGCATTCATCTCAAATTAAAATGAGCCTAAATAGTGCTGATGTATGCATGAGTAAGCAGGATGAGTACATACAAAAGCTTACAAATACCCAGTGATAAACTGTTCAGTTTCTGTTTATTCTGTGCCATACCACTCAAACCACTAGGTGCTAGTAATGAATCATGGAAACAATAGCAGAAGGGTGGCAATAACAATTCGGCTGACAGCTTTAAAACAAAATGTCACTGTTGATTACTATAAGATCCCAGACAGGATCATAAAATAATAAAAAGAATTTCTCAGCCGCTCTTTGACAAACTCCTGAGGTAGTCAGCGATATCCATAAAATTTATTTAAATTCAGATGTAATCAGCACAGCCAGCCAATTTGTTTGTAATTTTTAGGTACGGTGTCACATAACAAAATCAGCAGAACATGCAGTTCTTGTGCCTTGGCAATGTTCATTCATGTAGGTTCAGCTGCAATTTGATTGCGATTTGGTCTCTACAGTGTAAAAACATGGCTGGCAGCATGTGATAGAGAAGGCTATGGTTAGTGACTGTGGTCGGGACGTCTCCTGGCAGCTGTTGCCATGGTAACCTGCTCCGAGCGGAAGAGGGAGGAACACATGTAGCTTGGAGTGGTGGGTCTGAATGGCTCACAGCAGTGTCAGGTGGGTGGAGGCGGGGAGTGATTTAAACTCTACATTACTATGCCGACAGGAATGTCATTTTTTTCATTAACTGCTCATATGTACACTTCTTAGGCACTGTTAAAAATGCCACATTATGGTTGACTACCAGATTTTTAAGTATAGTTTGAATTCTTAATGACCTACAAAGGGTTTAAGGATATTAAAGAGGGATTTCCAGCAATTTATCAAAATTGTTGAGATGTAAATAAATTCATTCAGAGTGGTTTAATAAGAAATGGTGCATTGTAGAGAAACTTGCTCAGATTTCTTTACAGTGGTGGTGATAGGTACCAGGGATTAATATAAATACGGCCATTTTATTTACCATCTAAAATCAGTGAACCTACAAGAGTTTTCATATTTTGATTTATTTAATCATTTTTATCCTTATTTTTCTGGGGATTACTTTGCTTCAGAACATCCTACATGTACCATACTGTAAAAAGTGGCCCATCAGATCTACCTAAAAACCAAACTTTATGTGGTAACAAGTAAATTAACTAGTTTTATTCAACTTAAATAAATACCTTGAATGAACAATTCTTTCACTCAATGTAGTTTTTTTAAGCTGAATAAAACTAGTTCAATTGTTTGTTACCACACAAAGTAATTTTTTGAGTAAATCTGATGAGCCACTTTTTACAGTGCACTCTGCCACGAATTTATTTAAAAAAAAAAATTTTTTAGCCAAGACCTTTTTTCAAAAACTACCATAAAACAAAGACTCAGGCATCCTGCAGCATACTCATAACCTCTTCATGTCGTACCATTCTGCAAAGGAGATTTTAACAGCATTAAAACACTTCAGACATCTGGTTCCTATCACCACCACTGTGAACAACTCTGCTTTGGTAAGTTTCTCTACAATGCAGTATTTCATATCTGGTAAAACAACCCTAGCCATTTCATATTTTTATTATGTTTTGAGGTAATATGACCTGAAGCATGAATACAAAAAATTATTGGTCTTAGAGTCAAGTGAGTTTGCTTTTTGCTACAGTAGCTATTGCAAAAAATAGAGTAAATAAATAAATATCAGAACGTAAATGTTTGGTCGGAGCCTTCAATCTGACACTGTTTCCAAAAGTCTGAAAATAGCAGCAGGAACATGATTCTAACTGTGCAGGGACAAGAAGAGTACCTGTGTCCTGAGGCGTGGGGCTGGCCTCCGCATCACTAGGCTCCACAGGCAGCACGGTCACTTTAGTGCCAGTCTGCTGGATGAACTGCTGCAGGTTCACTTGCCTCAGCTCTTTCGTCAGCTGCTCCAGCTCATACTGACTCTCCTGAGGGGAAAACACGCATCTGCTATGTGATGCATTAATGGCTTTTTCTGCATTCAACTACAGTTTCCACGCTTATTTATTTAGTACAGTGCACTTATTTGAGTGACGTTTTACTGTTAAAACGTGTACTTATTTAGACATTCCTGTATTATAAGTAAGTGTGTCAGATATAAAAATGCAAATCTGTACCATTTTTAAACATGCAAAGATACACAAGATGCTTCTTTATAATCTTCTAATTATATTTTAACCTTATTTTATATTTTCAACCACAGCGCTGCAAAGGTACATTAAAAGCAGTGAGTCTCAATCCTGGACCTGAAGTACCGCCCTGCATAGTTTAGTACGGCCCCTACTCTAAAACATTCAGCTCAATTTGTTAACCCTTTAAGATCCAGACTTCTCTTCCTCACTCTCAGTTAATTTTACAGTTGTTTATGAACAATTACTATTAGTTGCTGGATAATAAGCCTTCAGAGCAATAACTGAATAAGATGACTTGAATTTCTGAGATTAATCGGTTAATTAGTAAGGGGTTAATTAGTTGATGAGTTGAATCAGGTGTGTTGGAACATCAAAAAAGCAAGATAAGTGTACCCCAGAGGCTGTTCAAAGCGTGCCACGTCTCATGCTTAAAAAGAAGCAAGATGTGCCTCTTAAGGAGTAAAGTCACTGTATATCAAACCACATGTGCAAACCACAATGTATTTGATTGACAAGTAGGTAAACACAAAACAGTGATTTGAGAGAATGAGTAAGACTGAGGCGAGTGATAAACGTTTTGAAACTGACTTAACTACTTATAAAAACAAACAAACAAACAAACAAAAAAAAACTACAAACTCTTTCATGTGTTCATCTTTGTGCCAAATACAGCTCTGAGTGTTTCACACCAGCCAAAACTATCTTTTCCTTCAGTGGTGACTAGAGAGAAAACATCCTTGATATGGATTGGTCAGCTATAATGATGCGTGGTGCTGTTTTGTGGAGCTTAGTTCAAAAATTGATGGTTGTACAATTTAAATGCACAGTTTAAAATCACGAAGCATGCTGCGCAAGCTGGAGGAATGCTTTTCAGTCACTGTGCTCACTGCTCCATAAACGCCAGTGAAAAGAAGTGTTCTTGAGAGACTTTCAAAAGGCGTTGTCTGAACACCCCCAACACTGCTTCAAAGTAATGGCACCAATCCAACGCTTTTTATAAGTATTGGGCACAAACGTCTAGATTGGATACAGGGATAAAACTAATCTGATCAGATTCTGTAAGAAACTGAAAAGTAAACAAATTGCATAGCACAACATGAAGTGGAAATAAAGCAGGTCACATGTCAAAAGTAGCTATGTGCAGTCTTCCATTAACAAAAAGAACAAGGAACAGCTGGCCAAGTATTTTACAAGAATTACAATTCATTTTTTTTTCCAATTGTCTAACTTCCACATTTTGCGCACATCGGCACTGTAAGTGATACTTTTTTTTATTTTGGTATAATGCTCTTTGTAATGGCAATGTATTTTTTTCTGTTCTTCCTTATGCAGAATGAGCATGGTATTTTTAGATGTCCATCTTAAGAGAAGTGCCTCAATTAAAAGTAGTTTCTAAAGTAAAGAAAAAGATCAGATCAGCATTAGGGATCAGGTGATACTCAAGGAACAGGAAAACAATGTGGTGTACATCCATCTCTAAGGTATGCCATATTTTCTCTGACATCATACCTACCTGTAGCCTCTTACTTGACTGGCCCAGCGATCTTTCCACTGCTCTACAGCTGCTCTCCAGCTGTGCCGTGTGCTGAGCCTGGGCTTTGAGTTCTGCCTTTACCCTTTGCAGCCTTGCCTTCACCTCCCCCTCGCTCGCCTGCTGTGTCGCCCGCATCTCCTTCTGGAGCCGCTGGGCCTCAAGACCGGCCTCCACGCCTTGTAGGCAGGCCAGCCGCTGATCTAACTCTGCCTCGCAGACATGCAGCCGGTTGCGCAGCTCCTGCAGTCGCTCCTCTAGCTGTCGCTCACTCTCCCGTTCAATCTGCAGCTCGCTCGCCCAGAACTCCTCCTCCTCTACCTCCACCTCGTTCTTACGCATCTGCTGCTCTAGACAAACTATCTCATCCATCACTGCAGCCCACGAGTCCTCGTCATTTGCTCCTCTCTTGTTGCTCCATGCCTGCAGCTCAGCCTCGTAAGCTTCCATCCTGTGGTCCAAAACAGCCAGAGTCTCCCTCTGTAGCCTGACCAGACGGCTCAGGTCCTCCAGACGGTTCCCAGGTAACCGGGGAGACAGTGATGGGCCTTGGTGGCCACTGTTAACCAGAAGCACACGGCGTTTAACCTCGCTGTCCCCAAGCCGGCCACCACTCAGAATGTCTCTGAGCCCCCGTGGACCACCAGTAAAGGTGAGAGACTTGCGGCGCGGTTCGCGCCGACGGAGGAGCGAGCGTTCCCCTGGAGCTCGAAGCTTGGCCATTATGGGGAGGCTCTGACGGTGCAGGCCACGCTCGGGACCCCGGGGGACCAGCCCCTCAGACGGGGGGTGCTCCATAAGAGAGGGACCTGTTCGGTGTAGGATGAACTGAACATCACCAGCGTACTGACCCCAAGTGTTCAAGGAGGCCACTGGGCTTTCATGAGGAGCCAAGTGTCGCTCAGAATCCCTCCATTTCTCGATCAGCGTGTAGCGCCCAGTGCGGCCTAGAAGAGCAGTAACATTAAAAATCACATTTTCCAACACATTGCCTTTAGTTTCACCCTTTGAATTTGCAGTTATTGCTGGCAAATAGCTGTAATTGTATATTAAATATGAGTCACACATAGCTCACAGGAGTAAATAGAGAAATTGTTAGAAATTGTGATACCAAACTTTACATACATACATATACATATACACACACACACACACACATTTATATATATATATATATATATATACACATATATACACACACACATATATATATATATATATATATATATATATATATATATATATATATATATATATATATATATATACACACACACACACACACACACACACACACACACACACACACACACTATTTCCAAATAAGTATAAGGTTTAAATTATTTGCACATCCCTGAATTCTATTTTTATTAACATTTTGCACAGCATCCCAATTTTTTTGGAAACAGGGTTGTACATAACAAACAGCAATAATTATAGACTTCTATGTGTTGACCTGGTTACTTGCCAAAAGACAAAAAAGATGGTGGTTCTCAAAACTGAACAGATATTTAAAGCGGAATTCTAATGATTTTTCAACATCTCTGTATAATTCAACCTTTTAGATGTAAGCAAAGTCACTCAGAGTGGTTTTATCATGAAATGGCGCATTGTAGAGAACTGGGATAGTGATGGGAAGCAGGAGTTGTGATGTCTACAACATTTTATTTACTATCCAAAATAGCCAGAGAACTTGTATACGTCGACTTATATACGAGTTTTTATATTTGATGTCAATAATGGTAAAAAAAAATAGTGGTAAACCTAAACGTTTTTTTTTCATATTTAAACAATCAAGTCCTCAAGTGCGGAGTAGCGATGAATCTGACATGTTGATTGGGCAGGGGGAGGTCCTGGAACTCACGCAGTGTGAGGTTTCCCCCTAACATTGGATCTTACAACTAACAAGTGTGTGAACAGGGTTTTTAAACATCAAATGTTCTCGTGTATGTGTTTTTCCCAACACTAAACAAACAGCTTCTAATGCATGAGTAAATAAATCAAAGGTTACAAGCCTGAGTGTTTTGCTCTGTGTTACTAAGCTCTTATGAAGGATGAACAATTACAGCAGTGGTGGGGTCATTTGTGAGTGATAAACAGCATCTTGCGTCTTGTTTTTATCACTGTTTAGATCACCACACATACCCAAACAGCAGTTTGAAATTCAAATGAAAGTCATGGCACAAGGTGAGAGAGCACCCTACTTTTTAGGTTATTTTTGTTCTTATTCTGGCACTCTGCATGTACCTCCCTGTTTTGAATGGATAAAAAAAATATATGTTTTAGGCCAAAAACTTATCTCAAAGTTGCATAAAATAATGTCTCGGGCATCAGGCAGTGCATGCATAATGATTTAATACAATACCTTCCTGTAATGTAGCTTTTAGAGCTTCAGACATCTGGTTCCTATCACCACCATGGTGAATAATTCTAACTCCATCAGTTTTTATAGAATGGCGGATTTTACATCAAACCACTCTCAAATGACTTTGTTTACAGCTTAACCATTCAATCATGCAAACATTTTTTTAAAATCTGTGGAATTCCTTTTTAAAAACAACCAATAAGCATTTAAACAGTGACAAAATGTCTTTATAATAATAATGTAAGGAAAGCAAGCACTAACAGTGAAGGAAGACCCTAGAGTTCTTGCTCCATCTCTTTTTTTTAGGGTTGGATGATGACTCAGAGTTTCCATCTCACCAGGCACTTTTCGAGCCTCAGTACTTTTCTCACTAAAGCGAAGGGGGGCCTACAGATTACACCCGCATCTGAGTGCTGCTAGAAATAGGCTCAAACAATGACGTCAATAAGACGGGTTTCAATCAGAAGCAAATTGTTCTGGGTCTCTCTGGTTATGCAATCAGTCTGAACACGGTTCTTTCTCAATGCCTTCCTTCTCTCCCTCTCTGTGTAGGTACTGCTTTTGAGAGCTTCACTGAAAACCTACTTGAAATGTATTTGGTGACTCTGGACAGCTTTGAGAGTTGGACTGCAAGCAGACACAAATTTTCACTCTGCTTTTCAATAAATAATGGAACCGTTTGTTTGATCAGCCAGACGCCAGACAGTTTAAGCATTAGCTGGTACTCAGACACTACAGCATCTGCATTAGCAATTCACCCAGATCTGGTTACCAGTGAAGTCCCACGATCCAACAGCTTTATACAGTCTGCTAAAACACAGAGCACAGCAGGAGCACTTCTTTTCCTGTGCCATATTGCCTACCTATAGCCTGAGCCAGTGCGATGACCACTTCCTGACAGGTGGTGGCCTCTGTGACGCCGCAGACCACGCGCTGGACTCCATCCACCCACACCTTCAGTTCCATCCTGGCTTTAGCTTTGCTCCCTCATTCCTCCAGGCTGCAGCTGTAGGCCTCCTCACGGCCAATCTGAAGGAGGACAGAGACAGGTCAGGTCCGGCTAAGAAAGACTTCTGTTCATACACTCAGACACACACTAAAAACTGCTTGCATTAAACGTCACAGATAGTTTTTCAGAGGTATAAGAGTAATATAACATAACACAGTATTACATAGTATGCTAACAGTATTGTGTGGCATGGTAACACATGCCTTTATATAGATGTCATAAATTTATTCCAATATAATATAGCATTACATGGCACAAAAACCATGCACTCTTAAAAATAAAGCTGCCAAAAAGGTTTTTTTGAGCAGTGCCATAAAAGAACCACGTTTGGTTGGTTCCATAAAGAACCTTTCAAAGGATGATTCCTTTAAAGGAATGGTCTGGTGAATAATCGTAAGCTTCATTCATTCGTCACACAGACTTGTTTATGCTCACAGTATGACTTACTGCGAGCAATAAATATGAACAAATCTTCACTGTGCAGCTGAACTCCGCAGACAGACACTTTTTTCGGTACAACAGGTGGTGCTGAATTCCGACCCTTCTTCTCTTCTTTTTATAAATAACTGTTAATCTTGAATTCTCAAATTGACTATGTACGTTTCTAAATAGAAACAACAGAAATCACAAATGAGATCTAGCATCCACATGTCTCAGTGACGTGTGAACATGAAGGGGAGGCAGGATTTGGCAAAACACTGGTTGTCTTAAATAGGTGCCTGCTGTTCACTGTTAGCTCACACTCACAGTAAATCATATGGTGTCTTAAACCACATAGACAAGTCATGGTGATCTAGATAACTTGTATGTGGTTTGAGTGGGTTTAAAGGTTTTGGGGACGTACTTGCAAAAACATCTGGGTGACTGTTAACTTTTAGTGTTTGTTAGCTTCGTAGCTCCAGTGCTAAACTGAAGAAGAACTATTTGGACACCAAGCATGTTTTGGCTTACCAACCACACCTGCAGTAAGTTGGTAAAATTGGTAAAAGACCCATATTTAACCTTATCAAACCTAACACAGCATCAGCAAAAAATTCAGAGACTGCATCTAATGATGCTGGGCCATGCACATGTGCATACTGCCCATAGTAAAATGGATCAGTATATGAAAGCTTTTTATGTGCTACCATGTTTGCTATGATTATATAAAAGACGCACTTCGCTACCTTTGTTGTTGGATGTACTGCGATTGTTTCTGAGCAAGGATAAGCACACATTCACAACACGATTTGGATTGGTAAGCATGTATTACTGATTTGGTTAATCAGAGTAACGATAAAAGGCCACTGAAAATGTCAAATATATTCCTATTCACATGTTTACTTGATCTAATAAAAATCTGATTTTTGGCTTTGTTTGCTCACATTTCATACACATCAAATAACACTGAGACATTATGTTATGAAAAGAGAGGAGTAGGATAAACGGTAGAAATAACCCCGTTTTCACAATGATCTTGAATGGTTAAAGAACCGTACAATTTAAAAGTGCTATATCAATGAAAGGTTTTTCCTAGAACCATACATCCAAGCCTAAAAATGTTTAGGAACCTTTTAAGAGTAATCCATGGCAGTGTAACACAACATCTTTTCAAAGTTAAAAATATTTAATTCCAATAGTAATATCAACACAGCAGCCAATGAGCCAAGAACTGTAACATGTTTCTTATTTTAAATCAGCAATATAACTGGCTGGCTAGGTCTGCAGTACTTCCGCAGCAGATAACAATGCAAAAAAACCACAAAGAGTAAAAACATGGCAATATGCACCCTCGTCATGCTCTCTGTTTGTAAACTTCCATCTAGTCCAGGGCTGGTTGTGGTGCTGTTACAGGCAGTGCTGATTATGGCTTGTAAATATGTTGGGTTTTTTTCCTCCTTCAGTCTCTCAAACCACACTGCTCACTTCACTGTACCAAAAACACCTCCTCATGAAGCATAATGTAGGGAGATTAGTCATTTGGCTTAGGTTCAAGCTTCTCCATTCGCTGCTAAATCCACCATGGTGTCAAAGTGTTCTGATATTCAGTGAGTAATCAAAGAAGTACAAAGGAGATTATATCTATCCATGTTTCTGAGCTGCTTTGTTGCTAAAACAAAAGCCCATTAAATGTGAGAAAAAAAAGAGCAAAACTCCATCTGGCCACACACAATAGAAGTGTGATGTTGTGAGTCAGTGACTCTTCCAATCAGGAAAGCTCTGTAAAAGGAAACGGCTAGCGGGAGACCTCTGTGCACTTTCAGATGGACATGTTTCCTTCCCTAAAATATGCCCTCCTTCAGGTTTAAAAAACAAACGGAGGGATTTCTGGAAAGTCAACAAGCTTCTTTCTAGCCACCTTTACATAACACACTTCAGAACATACTGAGACAAAAGCCCGAATATGCAGTCTTAGCACAGTGCAGACTTTAGATATGAATCAGGGCTGGCTCTGTTTTGTGTTCGTGTTGGTGGGGAGGGGGAGAGGAGGATAGGTGAAAACAGTTGGCCACAGTGAGGACGTCCTGCAGGGAATAGTGGGACCAGCTGGACCGACACTCTTTGCCTCCCACTTCCATGAGCATTTTTAGAAGGACGACAGACTGCATGACGCGCGTGAGCCAGCTTTCTGATTTTGGGCATAAAAATGTAAAAGCATAAGGAAAAAGCAAGGCCGTTAAGTCTGCAAGAGACTTTCTGCCATAAGATTTTAAACAAAGAGTTATACACATCACTCAGAATATATATGCTCCCCCTGGACGTAGCCTATAGCTTACATTTAATGAGCCTGGCTCAGTCTGATGAGAACCATATGCCTGCAAAACTATTTTTGGATATCTTTACGAAATGCTTAATTGCAAAATACTGTTGCTGCAATGCAAGCAATAAGCAAATGATATATTACTAAAGACAACTTTCATTCAGGGCATGTGGAGGTTACCATGTTTTTAAGCACAATCCTTGAACAAAGAACAGTAAATGATGGCTGCGTTGAGCTCAAACCAGAAGCACAGTGCAACTGTAATATATCTTTTGCCAAGAGTAAAGTTTTTATTTTAAAAGTAAGTGTAAACCTTATGCACAAGTATCACAACCACCAACCTTTCCATTCCATTATCAGGTGCGAACAGACCAAAGAGTAATGTTCTGAAAAAGTAACGTTCTTTCTGACCCATTTCACTCTGATTGATGTCAATACAAACACATTCTTTTCATTCATTCATTATTTTGACAGAGCATGAAGCTTTAAATAGTTGGCTCCCTAAATGGGACAAGGACGATTTAGTGCCTGTGCAGTGCACTGTAATGGAAAAGTAGAACATTTAAAACATTTATGTCAGCCAAAGCCTACAGAACGCAGCCATACGCTCCACTCCGAGAAATATAATACTCGCTCTAATAACATCACACAGAGATCACAAGCCAAGGTTGAACATACAGCTGATCAGTTTTTTGGGACAAAAAAAAAATCCCTTAGAAGAAAAGCTGCAGGATTAACAAACAATAGAACTCTACTGCATTGCCACACCCACAGTCTGTGAAGTAATACTCACTATTCAAACTCTACAGCAAAAGCATATCACTGGTGTGGTCCCTCTTTCTACTTAGGCAACTCACTGAATTACTGTATTCTTTAAAGGGCCCATATCATGCCATGACGAAAGCTGAATTTTCCTCACTTTTTTTAATAAAGGGTTTGAAGTAATACATCAACACTTAAAGTTTTAAACTGTACTATTCACTACCCAGTCCATACTGTCCATATATGGAAACTATGCTGCAAACGCAGCCTGTTTTGAATTCACTGTTTCTGTGTTTGACTAGAGAAACAACGCAATTACATATATTCACTTATTCAGCCTACAGCACTGTCGCCCCACCCATTCACATTGAAGTTCTAAGGAATGTTTCAGCTCAGACTGCTTTTTGAATGAGGCACAATACAGGGCAGCCAATTAGAACAAAGCTAATATATCTTACGTCAGTCTTAAAAGGTACATTAACTAAACAGCCTGTTTAATTTTAAAGGATAAAGAGAGGTTGGACATTGGTCTTGTTAAAAATGAATCATGATCATTTTTGGTACATAAAACCACATACATTTTATAAAAGGACCTCAAAGGAAAAATTTAAATACAAGAAAAATGCAGGATATGCAGTGGAGAGCCGCTCTGTCTAAAAAAGCTTTTGTGACTAAAACAAAGAGCTTATTTGGAAGGGATGCATGATGATACCAGAATCATTTTGGTATCAGCAGATATTTAGATTTAACCAAGATTTCAAACTGATATTTGATGATTATTGAACTCCGAAAGAGAAGAATATATAGGTGACACTGGGTTACTGTGCTGAAATAATGTTACTGCACTCGTTACCCTACTGAAATAAATGTTATATTAATCTGTATTGTTATTCCAAACAAATGTAGTCACAATTTTAACATTTTAGAAAGGTTTATGTATTGGCATCTCCAGATAAGTACATGAATAACACTGGATATCCTCTTCGGCTCAATTCCCATATCAGGGCATCCCTACCTATTGGACATTCTACTAGAGGTATTTTATTTTGCTATTGCACCAAGAGTGATATAAAATACGAAAATTGTTAAAATACCAATTTAATTTAATTATTTTCACGGCACTGAAATTACTGTAATAATAACACACACAACAAAGCATTTCAACAGGAATGAATGGAAGCTACCCTCATTTCTCCATGTAGCACTGTAGTCCTTGCAGCATGTATTACTGCCAAAGAACCAAAGGCTGTTTTTTTTTTCTCTTTTGCTGATGATCATCAAGACTCTCTCTGATACTGAAAGCAGTCTCTTTTAGCCTCTCCACAGCCTTTAGAGTGATTTCAGCACAAGGACTTCTCTCTTCTAAAAGAAGTTATATGAATGGCTTTCAAGAAATAGATACTAGAGTAGTAACTGAACATAATCTTTAAAAATGTATCACATATGATATGTTTAATGGTACATTTGAAACATGCACTTACAGTCTTTTCGTCCCTCAGAACTAAGGTCCAATATTTC